GCATTCAAACTGAAAATTTGCAGTCAGAGTGCAGTTCAAATGCAGTCTGTCTGTCTAGAGACTTATTGTAATCGGTTTACAAATGTCGGAATCGTTACATACACAAAAAATATACAGTCGAATTGAGATACTCCTCCTTTTTTGAAGTCGGTTAAAAACATAATAAATCACTGACCAAACTGACACGAAGCCAGTGCAGTACAAAGCGTTTTTATTTGCGATTACCTACGAATACTTTATTTAGTAGAATAGGCAAACTGGCTTAGCTAAACATATTTATTGTCTTTCCCATGCATATACATTAGACGTATTTGTGTATTTGTCTCATCCTCAATATTTTAAAATACATTGTGAAGTCATTCAAAGGGTTACCTATCAGAAGTCCAAAATGACATTTTTCAGACATAACGTTTGCACGAATTTTCATAACCTCGAAAGTAATTTTGAGAGGAAAATATTTTTTTCTTTTAAATCTAACTTAACCTAACGTAACCGAACCTAATCGCGTCTTTGCGATAAACATCCAACACGTACTGAAAGAACAACGGTTTCGTTATAATTCAGTTTTCGGGGTAATGAAAATTCAAACAAACGATATTTCGGAAAAAATAAATTCAAGTTTGTGACAGGTTACCAATTCAAACGCATATTAGAACTAAAATTATTAACTGTTTATATCAACCTCATTGCCATAAAGTAATTTATAAGTATAACTGCTTCAACGTGTATTTTGTATGTATACTACGCGATTACTTCGCCTTTTGTGAACCGATTTCGATGATTCTTTTTTTTGTCGAAAAGGGTGTCTCAATATTAGCCCATTTACATTTAATAAATATTCCTCCTCTAAGGGTGGATGAATCCGGTTTCGCGCCCTTTCCGGTAACCGATTTCAATAAAACTTGGCAAATAGATGTAATTCCAGGAACTTTTGTTGTCCATTTTATTATTATAAAAATTTATTACAAAGTAAAGACTTATTTATACAACCATTAGCCATTTAAAAAAACTGTCAGAATAAATTGTCTCCCTTTTTTATGTCCAGTGGTAGTACATATATCGTTGATCTGCGTCTTGTTTTTGTTACATTTTTTCTTTCTCCTTTTCTACATATTAATGGAAACTTTTACGCTAGTAAATACATACACATAAACATAGGAAATGAAACTGTTTTTTGGGATTTGAAACGAGTACATTTGTTTTTTCAAATAAACAACGTTTTGGGCCCCTTACAGGTCACGTGGGTACAGTTGACTGAGATGGTAAATGATTATCACTAATATCAGGTTTCTTACCACGGTATGACTTCTTTTTATTTTCCCGATAGTGAGTGACTATGGTAACGCCACAACAAATCGCGGTGAAGGTAGTCGTCGACAGCGCAAGAGGGTAGACAGATATGTCTGCTCTTAAAGCTGTCATCTGCCGCCGTCCAGTCAACCCTAAAAAAAAACCCAAAAAAGTCTTTATTTTAGACCATAGAGCGTGCAACCGTTCCGAAATATCGGGAAAATAAAAAGAAGTCATACCGTGGTAAGAAAACTGATATTAGTGATAATCATTTAGTGAATAACCACGAAAGTCTTAAAATCTGAGATAGTAAAGTCATTTGATTAGATATTTTTAGTAGGAGTAGACGTCCTTGTGAAAGAGTTCGTGCAGGGAAATACTGCCACCTTACCTATTTCTGCCGCTAAGCAGTAATGTCAGCATTATTGTGTTCCGGTTTTACAGGGTAAGGATGTTGGTGAACTTACAGGTACATGGGATTTGTCAACTTATGTCTGACGAGCGCAGTGGCAGTGGCCCTCACATCTTTGCGATTTAAAGCTCTGAGTGGCACTGCAACTGTTATGGTCCGGCTTGTAGCTTACCATCAGGCGCACGACTTGTTCGTTCCGTCACTTGATATTATAAAAAAAGAAAGTTTCATTTCCTATATTTCATTTGTTGTATTTCACATACTTTCATTTCCTATGTGTAATAATCGCAAAAACCTAAAAACACGATAGATATTCATACGCTTCACGCCCTTTTTCCATTAGGGTAGTGAGAGATCGCACCCTTCCATTTGCTACAATCCTGATGCACATCTTTCAATGACAATATCAATACATTTCCATACTTATCTGAGCTCAATATACCTCCCAGGAAGTATGTATCAAATCAAACAAGATAAATTAAAACCGCGGCGAAAAAACTTGTCAGATATCTGCCTCCGTGGCCGAACGGTTACCATGCCAGACTGCCACTCAGAGGTCCCAGGTTCGATTCCCGGGCCGGGAGAAATATTTGTGTGTCCTACATTTATTTCTCTCGTGAGTTTTAGTGTAATTTGTGATTGTCTATGTTACCCGCGACTCAGGGTTTCCCTAGTGCGGGGCTATGTAGAGTGTGTGCGTTATTATTATTATTATTTCAGACGGAGAATGGAGGTAAAGTCTAAAGCAGATCCATCTCACAATTTAGACCTTGGACTGTTCTTTCTACTTCTAACTTGACGTGCTCTGCGTGAAGACGAAATCATTATTGCATATTCCCTCAAATGATACGAAATAAAGTTGTTAGTCTTGACTTTTTCGATCACCCAATTTGATACATGCCTGAAGCGACAAACTATTTCTAAAAAAAATATACAACAAAAAAGAGCAATCCTATCAATTAAAGACTAACTTTGATTACTTGCTTGAGCAAAAAACTGAAAAATAACAATCATTGACTGCATCCATGCATGACAGTGAAATGATCCTTAACAATTTATTTTAACAATTTCCTTATAAATCTAAACTGAATTTCAATTTGTTTAAGTTTGATTTTCCAATAATCTGTAAGACAAATATAAATAAACAGTAATAGGTTTAAAGTTCAAGGGTAAATAGCGAACTTAAATGTGGTATAGATAAATGAAATACAATATTAGATTTTTAAGTAGTAGATAATTGGAATATTGGATACAATATATACCCAGCAAAAAGTTAATAATATTGTTGTTTAATTTTTTTTTAAATTATAGCAAAACTCCTTCCATTTGAAATGTTACTGTTGTGTTTATGACTTCCTAATTTATAGTATTGGAAATATTTAAGTTTTTTTTGGTTGTACAGGTTTTTTATTGTAAATTTTTAAAACCATTCAGTAGATACTGTAAACATTGTTTTTTTCTGTTTGTTATTCCGGTTTACGCTTTAAGCTTTCTTTACGTACGTTAACTTCTTTTAATTTGTAAACTGATGGTGATGCTGCACAAGACTGAAACAAAAAGCCAAGAAATAGACACCTGCTTGACAAAAAATATATTAATAATGACAAGTTTTAAGTATGTAATATTTAAAGATTCTTAATTATTTAAGATCATTTTAAGCTGGATAGTTCCATAGCCAATGCTCAATAAAAAACCTTCAAGAAATTCCCACCAAATGCCTCAAACAGACGATATAATAGAGATGTGTACAGCTATTGAAAAAAATACTGATAAAATTAGAGTCCCATACAGCCCAGTGAACCCAGTTGATAGAATACTAGAATATTTAGTATATTTACATGTGCCTTAAATACAAACTATAGAAGAGATAAATTATTATGAAATTAAAAAAAATCTTACAAAAAATAAGCTTAAAATAAAAGACGTTCGTTTATTATAAAAAATATCGTGATGATAGTATTCAAGGCAATAAAAAATAAACCCTTATAGGTACATATTCAATTTCAAAACGTTTCCAATCAATGGCCAATCTCTTAAGAAGAGTTTTTCGCCGTGGAACTTGGCGTGAGTAAGTACATATTTAAATAAAATTATTACAACTGTTTTATAATAAAAACCGACCGCTAAAGTTTGTAGGAATAACATGTCATTTATGTACTAAAATTTATATATTTGCCATGTTTTTTGAAATCGCTTAACGGGAAATGGGTGAAATCCAATAATCCGGACTCATCCCCTAGTTTGCTACCCTTAGAAGTGAAATATTTTCTTCAAATTTTAATGGGACCACTACTGAGGTATCCCCTTTCTAATAAAGAAAGATTCATCGAAATCGGTTCGCAGATGTCTGAGTAATTGTGTAACGTACCCAAGAATAAATACTAGTCGGATTGTGAACCTCCTCCTTTTCTGGAGTTGGTTGAAAACACAGTTATTTTTTGCTTTTCTTTGCTTTGGACTACCAAACCAGTGACCCAAAAATAAGTACTGACCTCCGACATCAAATTTTGCCATGCGTCTCCCGTTTTCAACCTGTCCCGGCTAGTTAACAATACAGAGGTCCCTGTCTTTCTGGATTTCATCGCTCCAGTGTTACTTAAGACATCAAATCGTTCAATCGTTATCATTCAGTAGCAATCGGGAAGACATTAAATCTTTTGGCACGATCTTATTGCAGCATGACATTCTCCCATTCTCTCTACATATCCTAGCCAAAGGAGGCGAGTTTGCTTTACTTCTCCAATATATATTGGGCTTGGACGTCAGATCCTCTAACTCCAGTTCTTCCTTAATCACCATTTTTTTTTCAGTCTCAAGATTTTCTTTCAACGCCACTAACAAGTTAAATTATCAATCAATTATCTTTTTTTAGGGTCAATGTCCAAGCTATGGTCTTAGAACAAAATTGGTCTAATTAAAGTCTTGTAGAGACGGATCTTATTTGGTCTTGAAAGGCGTACTAAATTCATTACTTTTTACTTAAATATATATATAATTATAAAAATCAATCTAAAATTAACCGAATTAAGTGAAAGCAATATTCATGACCTATCTCCGACCTTGCTAGCATCAAATTCATTCAATAGCTTAATCTTGTCACACTTTTGATTAAGTTTTTGTGCAACATGTCGATTCTGACAAAAAATGTGAAGGGAATCAAGTATCAACTCAAGACAAAGCGGTTTCTGATCCAGTGATCACAATTAAACGCAATGGCTGTATGTACGCACGCCCTTATCTCGTAACTTTGAATAAAAAAAGTTGAAGAAAAAAAAAATTGTGTTCTTAATTTGATTTTTCATCAAGTTTTTTATAATGATGGAAGCAGTGAAACGATTTGTGGGTCCAAAATGGCGGCAATATTTGGCGGCTTCTTTAGGTATGTGTTCTATGATTCCTTAAATTCTAAATTTTAATAAATAAGATACACGAAAGCAATAATAGTTTCATTATAATGGTTTTTTATTTATTCAAACAATCATCAATCAGTCATACATTTAATAATAGTTATTTACATAATATTTCTCTTAAAATGGTCCTTTACAGTCAGCAGTTATCAGCAGTTTATTAATAAATTATAATAATAGATGAGACGGCTACAGCATGCTATTTTGTGGAGTTATTTCTATAGCATTCTTCTTTTATATATATATATATATATGTAATATAGTGTTACTAGAATTTTACAAGTTCAGCATTAATTTAAGTACCAAGATGGACTGTACAAACGATAACAAAGTTCATTCAATGCCAATTGTTTCTAATTTATGAGTTTTAATTTGAATTAGTAGATAATTAGTAATATAGTTATTGTTATTGCTAATATTTTACAAATAATCATGAATAAGCCACGTCAATACTTACTGCGTAACAATAAATATTAATGAGATAGATGTTCTCGAATTAGGGCATTCCCTATTCTAGAGAAAGTTCATTTGTCAAAATTTTTGGATCGCGACACCTCCTCATCTTGTGTCCATAGTATCCACATATAACCACAGAGCTACTGAAGTCATAAAAAAAATAAAACACCAAATAGACTGAAAACAATACGTTCTAGATAAATCAGAACACTAGGTATTTCCCGGTATGTACAATGTAAATACAAATAAGTTTTTTTATATGGGTACTACAAACTACAAATGTATACACTTAGTCCTACGTATTCAATGTAGGCAAGATTTTTAAGCATGCAATTAGGACACACTTAAGGCGAAATGGTATAGTCGTTGCATAGGCCTTGAAGCGTGTGAGGCAAAGGCGGAAAAGCACACCTTACATCTATTGCACGATTTTTAAAAATATGCTTTTTAGAAATAATGTAACTAAAGCGGGAAACATACGGAGAGCGGGGGGGGGAGCGGGTGCGAAAAAACGATTTCTCGTATGGTCGTAATATGTTAAAACGTCTATTTTGTGTCTCACTTCCCCTTAAGGTAGGTAAATGGTATCTCAAACCGGTACGATGGGCCGCACCTTAACATATACAGGCTGTTATTTTAAATGCATTACATCGGAAATCGCGAAAAAAACTTACTCTTCTTGGTCACTAAAATGTGTTTCAAAACAAATGTTCATATCCACTCGATCAAAAATAAATAAAAAAATATTGGTCCAGATGATTTTTTGTTCGCAATTTCAAAGTCTCCATAGCCAAAGTTCTTTTTAATAATAGGTGGCATTATCCTCTTCGTGTGTAATTTAATTAGTTTTCAGTCTATCAAAACTCTTTGTTAAAAATTATACCTTATACCATTTATGTAACGTTCAATTTGCAGTTTGGTGTTTTAAGTGACAAACTAATATAACTAGTTTGTTGGCTGAGTGCACGAGCCCCCACCAACCACAATTACTATTACCGCCACCACTATCATAACTTCACAGTTTAATTGCTTATTAAATAAATATTGCAGAGGAACGACCATATTCATGCTACGAGAGGACATTGAAATTAAAAAACATCCTGAAATTAGGATATTTTCTCCGTACAGGGAAGATGGTTTCTCCGTACCACCAGTTTGGGATCCTGTATTTCCTCTGATGAAAAATCCCAAACAGACATACGACTGCAGTACTAATTAATATGTTTTAGTTTATTCTAATTTCTATTATTAATTAATAATAAATTGAACTTAATAAAAATCATTCAATAAAATAATTTGTGAAACTATTAAGTTTTACATTAGTAGAGTAAATTAGAATGTTTTCTTTGTAAAATTAAAAATAAGGTATTTAATTAACAACTATTGTAACTATGGTGAAAAATAGGGTGGTTTGCATTAATATTACACATAACTGGTTGAAGACTGTACCACCTCAGTCAACCGTGACCATGGGACCTGTAAAGGCCCCGAAATATCGGTTTGTTTGAAAAAACAAATACACGCGATTTAAATCCGAAAAAATAGTTTCATTTCCTATGTGTAACAATCGCGAAAACCTAAGAACTCTATAACAATATTCAAATGAAGTTGCATTTATGTAGGGAGTAATCGACAATATTGGAAGATATGTTTTTAGCGACTTTTATTAATAGGCTCTTATTGCGAATATGTAGGGGTTCTCTAAGCGCGAATGTTCTGTCGTCGACACATCAAACGATATTGTCGTTAAATACTTATCTTTGATCAATTTTATTTTACTAAAATTGTTGCTTTCCATAACGTCTCTTAACAACACATGTATGTGACATTAAATTTTGACGAAAATGAACTATTTAACAAAATTTTAAATCGAACTATGTAAACCTTAGCCTTGAGTAGACTGAAATTCTAGCTTTCGGAAAACACAGATCTCGACAATGTATTCCATTCTGTTACCACAGTAGAAAGGATAAAGCATAGCGCTTCGTGCAAATGGGTGTTAAGTTATAAGCATGGAGTGTTCTGGATTTTCTAGTAGACCGACGGAGGAACGGTGAGGGTGGAACTTAATTGCTAAGTTCTTTCGCACACTCTCCGAAATATGTCGATATCAAACAGCCACTTTATGATCTCATGTATTATAAAATCTTCAGTTCCTGTTCAGAACCTGTTTTTCTTCATTGCACTGCAATGGCATTGTAACGCAATCTTGAGTGTCTCATTCGGGAATTATACGATCTTAAAATGTAAAGATTTACTACTTCAGACTTTAAAATAGAACTAGAAATAAACAGTTTTAAAGTTTCCATTTTTTTAGCCGAAATATGTCCGGACCTTTTTGTTCCACCCTATATAAAAGTAGCTCGTGAGTCTGTTGTTGCTACTCTACAATGTTTATTTAATAAGTCAATTAAACAGTGAAACAATACATATACAGGTATAGATATAGATATAGATATAGATAATATGAATATGTAAACGTTTAACCTCCTGTATATATTTAAAAGCAATTAAATGTTACTATAGAGAAGTACTACTTAATAGGCTGCAGTCAACAGAACTCTGCGTTTTCTACTTTGAACATTGAACAGTATTATTGTAAAAGTTAAATTTAGCTGTGTGACGATATGACCTCCTTACATCGTCATCCCACCTTTTTATGACCTTTAATCTGGTTTCTGGCCACTTGTTTTCAAATTTTGAATCGTTCTTTAATTCCTTTGACTCGCTATTCCCATTTTGTTTCGGTCCGTCGTCACTCTCTGCTCAATCGCGGTATCGAGCAGTTGAGCTGTAATTCTTAATTGTGCTAATTTTTGACGCGTTTACGTAATCTCTTGTGAGATAAATATTGAAAAGATTACAAAAAAACTTTAAAATATTTTTTATAAAACCCGATTTATTTCCGCTATTTCTTTTTCTTTTTGAATTTTGAACTTTAAACTAGCCAAGCGAGATGTGTGGAGGCTACTATACTCTCCAAGCTACAATACAATCAACAGGACATGCCACCAGCGCCAGCAGCGCGTTTCAACTGTTAAGCGTAAAGAGAGACATATTGTTTTCCGTACATCAAGTAACACCTACTTTACATTCCTTGATGTACAAGTATATCAATCTGCATATTGACTGAATCAAAAGAAACATCTTCATTTATTTATACGTGTGGCGCACTATAAGTTTCCAGAATGAAAAAGAAAAAAAATATTATAAATGGTCAGAAATGAATTTATTGTTTCTTAAAATATTCTCCGTTAGCGTTAATGCAGTTTTTCATACGAATGAACCAATTTTGAAAACATTTATGCCACTCCTCCGTGACAATATCTCAAACATATTTTTCATACTCTTCGATAGCCTCTTCAGGTGATGAAAATCGTTGACCGCGTAACTGGTTCTTAATTTTTGGAAATAAATAAAAGTCACAAGGAGCCAGGTCGGGACTGTAAGCGGGATGGCTCATAAGGTCAACGTTGTTCACCTTCAAAAATTTATTTGTCTGTCTGGCCGTGTGAGAACTGGCTTATCGTGGTGCAAGATGATACGGCGTTTACGGTTATTTTTACGATTTTTTTCAATAACTTCCGGCAAACAAATGATCGTGTACCAATCACTATTCACGGTACAACGATTCTCCGAAGCAACAATAGCCACGTCCAGTTTTATTAAAAAAGAAGCAATCATCCGCTTAGAGGCACTTTGCACGCGCGCCACTTTGGTTAGTTTCGGCTCATCTCGAAAGACCCTTACACTCGATTGCAGCTTTGTTTTGGGATCGTAACTATAAATCCATGTTTCGTCACCTGTTACTACGTCCCATACCAAATTTGACGCCCCTTCGCTGAATCTGATAAGTATGGCATTGCACCAAGTGACGCGATCCGTTTTTTGAGCCTCTGTCAAATTGTGTGGAATCCACCGAGAGCACAGCTTTTTCACACTCAGATGTTTGTGTAATATTGATTGTATTTTACTCATGCCTATGCCTAAAGATAGCCGAATCTCATGCATCGATGTTTTTGTTGTTCACTGCAGTGCCACACGACCGCGTTTGAATTCTGCAAACCAGCTATAAAAAGTCGTCTTGCATGGTGCTTCATCGCTAAAAGCAGTTTGAAGCCGAGTGAAGCTCCGCTGAGCTGTTCAGTTACACTTAAAGTCGTAGAAAAGCATACTACGAAAATTTTCACTAGTTAAGTCCATGGTGACGTAGACAACGAATTTTTCTTTTTTGTTTGTATTCTACTGCCATAGAGTTCCATTTTCAAATGTTGTAATTACTTTTTAAATATTGTTTATGTAAGTGGCCAGTTCCGGAAACTTATAATGTGCCGTATGTATTGAATGTCAATTTCAAGTTTCCATAATACTCGAATGTCTGCGAAGCTTTGACTTGCAAAAACAATATTGTATCAAATTACATTACAAAACATTACTTTTGTACACACGCATAAACATGTATACTGTGGTTAATCACAGTTACATTTGTACATACTGTCAAAAATCTTATAGAAAATTAAACCTTACCTCATTTCCATAACATTAAAGTATGCATTTTAAAATATACCTACCTACAAGTTTGTAAACCTTAATATTTAGCTGAGTGAATAACCTAATTACAAAGTTGATATTCTTTCTTGTGAACATGATAATGGTTATCAAACTTTGCAAATGAGAATCTCCTCTCCATGTCGAAAACGTTAATAAAATAATTCAAAATCCTTTCTCTAGCGAGCTACGGCAGTCTATGCACAGGAATGTCTATGGGATGGACATCGCCAATATTCCCACAACTGCGAGGACCCAACTCGCCACTGCACTGTGATTCCCCCATAGGCCATAAATCAAAAAAAATCATTGGCTTATCCCGGTTAGATCAACTCACTAAGTTAGTAACTAGTTAACAAGCTTCCAAAAACTATAAATATCAATGTAATTAGGTCACGTTATCATTCACTTTTGTGCATCGGAAGTGAGCGCATCGCGAGACTAATTATCACCACGTGTGAGTCATCGAAACTTAATCACTTTGTTTTTGAGTGTCACTATTCCAAATCAAGTGTTTACGTGTTGTGAAAGCATGGAGATCCAAGAGCATGGTATGTACTTTTATTATCAATTTTTTTTAATTTTTTTTATGCATATTTTTTTTTATATAATTTTTTTATTGAAGGCAGTTTTTTGGTGAAAATTTTTGGCATAACTTAATTTCCTTTAGACCTACAACTTTTGGCTGCGCTGAGCTGCACCTGAGGTATATGGTTTTTGAATAAGGAGTATGTCCTTATTAAGAGCTATAAGTTTCATTTGCATCTTGCTGCCTCTTCTTGGCTTAAAGGGGTGTCAAAGTATGCATGTCCATAGTATTGAATTTTTAATTTTTTTTTAAGTTCAGCTTTCATATTGTTTTAGGTACATTTTTCAAATGTTCTGTATCGAGGATGACAATTTTTGATATTTGGCACTCTAAAGTGGGTAATCCAAATGAAAAAATGCAACACGTCCTGAGCACTTTGACCGAAACATCATCCCTTTCTGACGACATCGAAAATATTGATTTAGAGACTTTAAGCCTTAAAATTAAGAATATTTGTAAACGAATTTCCCACTACTGGGCAAAGTCGAATCGTACTAGATCTAAATTCTTAGAAAAATATTCAGATTGGCTGCATGTCGTTGAAAATATTGATGTACAGCGAACTGAGTTACGTGTATCTCAGAGCTTTGACGAAGTTAAACCATCAACTTCTTCATCGCATGGCCGTCCGAGAATTAACTTTGACGACACCAGTAAACGTACAAAAAGGAGAAGATTGGCTAGTTTGTCTAACCAAGACCCTTCTCTTGTACAGTCATTGCTCAATGCGTCCGATAGCTTGTCTTGTCCTGAAATCGATTCTAGCGAAGTTTTATCGCTCATTGTTGAAGCTCAGTTAACTCGACATCAATATATATTAGTAAAGAAATTTATAGACAATAAGTTTTCAAAAACCATTTTCCCATCTTACCAAAGTGTCGTGGAATCTAAAAAACACTGTTATCCTTCAGATATTACTGTTACAGAATCATCCGCCGAAGTCGAACTTCAAAGTTTATTAGATCATACTGCCAATCGGATTCTCAAGTCTCAAAAAGATGTTTTGGATAGTGTACCTAATGAGTCTCTAGATAAGATATCTTTGATAGGGAAATGGGGTTTCGATGGCAGTACAGGGCATTCAGAATATAAACAGTGTTTTTCTGACTCCACTCTTGAAGACAGTAGCCTGTTTGTTACTTCGTATGTGCCACTTCAGCTTGTTTTGACAACAGATAACAAAGAAAATTCAGTAGTTTTGTGGAAAAATCCTCGTCCTTCATCAACTCGATACTGTCGTCCTATACGCCTCCGATATTTGAAGGAATCGACTGCAGTGTCAGTTGAGGAAGAAGCTCATTTTAAAGATAAAATAAGGAACTTGCAGCCTACTGTTTTCAAGGAAGAAGATCGCGAATATCGCATTACTCATTGTTTGCAACTTACTATGGTAGATGGTAAAGTGTGTAATGCACTTAGTGGTGTTTCTTCATCAAAATGTTTTATTTGTAACGCCTTGCCCAGTGAAATGAACAAAATTGACGAATGTTTAAATAAGGAAGTCGATGAGAGTAAATATGAATTTGGTTTATCACCTCTTCACGCGTTAATACGTTTTTTTGAATATTTTGTTCATGTCGCGTACAAGTTAGATGTTAGGAAATGGCAAGCTAGGTCCTCTAATGACAAAATGCTTGTTGCTGCAAAAAAATCATATGTTCAGACTCAATTTAGAGAAAGATTAGGGCTTATAGTGGATAAGCCTAAAAGTGGCGGAAGCGGAACATCAAACGATGGTAATACAGCCAGGCGGTTTTTCTCGAATTCAGAAATTTCCGCTGAAATTACTGGGATCAAGAAGGATCTCCTAGATCGTTGCTGGATCATCCTTCAATGTTTAAATTCGGGATATAATATTAATAAGACGAACTTCGAAGAGTTCGCTTTAGAGACGGCTCGGCAGTTAGTTGCCGAGTATCCGTGGTATAACATGCCTGCTTCCGTTCACAAAGTTCTAATTCATGGTGCTAATGTTATAGATTACGGTTTGTTGTCAATCGGAGAGTTGTCTGAAGAAGCAGCTGAAGCGACTAACAAATACATCAAGTCTTTTAGAAAAAATCATACGCGTAAAATGAGTCGCATTGTGACCAACACAGATTTAGTAAATAGGCTGCTTCTTCATTCAGATCCCTTCATAACAGGTCTACGAAAGTTACCTGTTAAAAAAAAAGGTGTACTGTCAAAAGCTGTATTAGACTTGTTATGTATTTAAAGTTAATATTGTTGAGATTTAATGTATTTTGGTATAATTTGTGTTTTGTTTGTATTTTGTAAAATGAACTTTTTTATGTATTTTTATTGTTTTAATTTATTCATTTGTGGTTATTGTTAATACAAATAATCATTATTTACACAGTTTTACCATTAAAAGTCGCAGTATAAAATGTTTTAGATACATCGTCTAAAAACAAAATTACTGCGAGACATTTTTACACCTAAATATTGTCAAATATTTTTTAAAATGTATAATTTTATTAATTTACGTTTACCTAATCATATTTTAACGTAATAAAATAAAAAAAAAATAATAATTTCGGAGTTACGTATTTATGACCGCCTTAGTATGGAGCGTGAATCACCGTGCACTGGCTGAGGAGCCTACGTTACAACAGGAGTCTTGGATCGGATCCTTACTTGTGCTTGGAGGGTTGGCCGGTGAGTAGCTGACTTAGAATTTATAAACATGAAATCTTACTCTCTTTTTCTTCTTGTCGATGTAAGAGCGGTTACACGCGGCGGCTTTCAGCAGCGATGCAAACTGCTAAGAGAGATGTTGTCCTCTGCCAAGCGATTCTTTAGCAACGTGGTCCCCTTGTCCTTCTATCGAGTCTATTATGTTCTCATGTACCATCATGCGTCCTCTTTGGTTTTCAATTCAATTCAATTCAATAATTTATTGCAAAACCATAATGTACATAATAAGATGTTACAAATGTAGTGAGACCAGTATTATCTCATGCATCGATGTTTTTGTTGTTCACTGCAGTGCCACACGACCGCGTTTGAATTCTGCAAACCAGCTATAAAAAGTCGTCTTGCATGGTGCTTCATCGCTAAAAGCAGTTTGAAGCCGAGCGAAGCTATGTTAACTACTAAGATAACTTTAACTACTTTCAGATGTTACAGCTTTCATTTACTCTTGTTAGTACCTTCAAATGAGAAGGAATCAATCCTGTTTCAGAGCGGTTATGATCCATGATTACGGGTTAAATATCGGGTGAAAAAGAAAAAGTTACACCTTGATAAGAAACCTGTAAATGGTTATAATTCCTGTTCTACCATAACGCAGCTCCAGGGACATTCCTATAAGTTCTGATTTACAACTTTGCACACAGAGCGCAGCGCCGCCGCGTTCGTTGTTTGTAACTCGTCAAATTATTGATGAAAAAAAATGTTAAGCCGACAATAGATAGGAGGTCGGTTAACGAAGCTAAATGGACATATTACGAGACGTAGGAATGACAAATAGTCGCCTTACTTTCTCAAGCTCGTATTCTAAGGCACGAAGTTACTGAAATGCAAAAAAAAATGGATTATATATACAAAGTTTGCACACTGGCTTTTGCCTATTCTTAAAGTAATGCAACCAAATTAACCCTCTTGATAAGAAATTTAAAATAAATGGAAAGTTTTGCCATCTCCTGAATAATCACGCTTTATAAGATACGAGTTTGAGAAAGTAAGGCATCGAAATGGTATGCGGCAACTTGTGACTAGAGTGTTCTGACATGGTAGATTAATTAAAGCTTTGGTGATTGGATCAACGTGCACGGATCAAACCAATTCAAGGCTCTTTTAAAAACATTGCAAATTGACAGCGTTTTCTCAATTTAAATAAATTTATATAGACGTAATATATTTGAAAATTGTGTAATATGTTTCATTTAAACATATGAACATTTAAATTGTAGTATATTTTAATTGAATAAAGCTATCCTCTAGTATACAGTCTTAGAATAATAACGCATAGAAACCTAGTCACCTAGTCCGCACACGCTAAGTGAGGCAAATTGAAGCGCGCCCAAAGGGCCTACACGAGCGGGCGGGCCTTCATTGAGCAAGGTCAACTTGCATCGCGAATAGATCAAGAATTTTAGCCAAAAATGACGAAATGTGCGGTAAATGAGTGTAAAAATACGTCAGACAAACATAAAATAGAAACTAACATCACATTCCACAAGGAAGTAACGCGTTTCAACTTGTATTTTTATATAAATGTTCACTAAAACCGAAAATTAACCTACTACTAAAACTAGCCTACTATATGAATCTGATTTTTGCCTCACTTGTGACAGTTCGTTTGATATGAAACTATCATTCTATGCGTTATTATTCTAAGTATACAGTCTGTCAGAAATTAGCTTATGCAAAAACGCAAATCATCACACATCCTAGTTGCAAGTCTAATAAATGTAACTTTTATTAATATTAGTCAGATAAATATACTTTATTGGTGTACCTATATCGAGATGTGAGCATCCTTCAGCGAGATCTGAGACGGACGGATTATACTCAGTAGAGCTTTCGGTCTCCCTGCTTTTCCAAATCTCGGGAAAAAATCTAGACTCGTTACGATCTCCAAAATCCCGGGTCAACGAGACTTTTGAGACTGTTTCAAACGTAGGTTTCCATATTTATAGGGTTAGGCATTTAAGTAGTCGAAATATAACATTTTAATCAAGCTTTTTGTTAACTAATATTATTAATCAAACCTATAGGCAATGCACTGAGTTGTCTTGGTAAATAAATATTTTTAATTTTGTTTAGAGAAAACAAATACCTTTACAGAAGTAAAATTTAATATTGCCCTTTTGCTACTTTAACAAAATGTACTGTACGTAAACCTGTACCTACTTTGCTTGGTGCTAATATCCACTATCCCTTTACAAGGTCTAACAAATGTGCTTTGTTGTGCGTATAATTTATGTTTTAGTTAGTTAGTATAATATCATTGATCAGTGGGATTAATTTTTATAACTCATTGGCCTTGGTCGATATTCTGCTTAACAACGATATTTATAAATGAGATACCTACAATAAAAAAAAATCTTTTTTGTGCGCACTTGGTTCACATTATAACAAATATAATGACGTTTTTATTTTCAATACACCAGGTATATACACGTATGGGAACACTTTGCAAGTATTAAAAAAAACAAGCTTCAAAATTAAAACTGGATTAAAACGCATAGTATTTCAGTAGCAGCACTGGTCCTTGTGAAAGAGTTCGTCCAGGGAAATACCACCATCTTACCTATTTCTGCCGGCAAACAGTATGGTGAGCATTACTGCGTTCCGGTTTCGGAGGGTAAGGGTGTTGGTGAAAGTACAGGCACATGGGACTTGTCAACTAACGTCTCAGGGTGCCGCAGTGGCAGTATCCATCAAAACTTTGCGATTTAAAGCTCTGAGTGTCAATGCAACTGTTATGGACAGGTGTGTCGCTTACCATCGGGCGCATGACTTCGTCCCGTCACTTGGTATTAAAAAATAGGTTATGTATATGCATATAAAGATGAATCATCAATACATGTTATCACGCCTGTCTCCTAGTCTATCTCTCTACTCTCCAGAGTAGGCAGAGGCCATGGACCTCCACCTGCTACGTTCCTGATAAATCTCCTTCGCCTCCTCCACTCCCATCAATCTCTTCACACATGTCCGTTTAGTCTTATAACCCAGCCTTCCAGCCCATCAGGACATCCCCAATCTGATTTATTTATTTATTTATTGAAGGACATCCAACAGTATACAATTCAAACTTAAATATATGTAATATGTACACCTAAGTCTCCCTCTCCTCACGCCTCCGTCCACATTCGCACTTTGAATCAATAAAGTATTACAAAGATTCACAAAAATACTAAAATCATAACAATCCTTTTATATTCGCGGTAATCGGTGAAGATAATGATTGATCGCTTCGATCAATTCGATCACTCCATTTCGTTCCAGAGTACATCTTGGCAAGGACATCGATATTTCCATTCAGACTACATTTATTTAGTACCATTGCGTTTAGATAATCTTTTTTGTTTTGTTGTTGTTGTTATTACAGCGTTTAAATTGGTATCAATTATCTATTGAAACGTTTAATGCAGTTAATTTGAATCACGGAAAACATCTACGTGATAAACAATAACAACGAAACATCTGTATTGGAAATTTTCCATGAAATTCTGTCTGTTTACCATGTTATTTTAGGGAAATCACCTCTTTACAATCCATCGATAAAACTGTCAACAACAACTACAGGACTCTTTAAAATTTTATGAAAGCTGGCAACCCTGCAAATGTGTGTCTTCAAAAACAACGCGTAACATACACATGAAAAAAAACACAGTCGAATTGAGAACCTCCTCCTTTTTTGAAAACGGTTAAAAAGTAATTTATAATCACTTGAAGATAGGGCCTTATTACAACAACGGTGCGGGGTATTGCGTTGTTAATTGCGCACAACATCTATTGGACAAGAATATGAGACTGACTTGTCAAACGACTGACGACAAACATGGCGGCTGTTAGGCAGGGTTCAAAAGCGTAGATTGCTCTACGCTTGTGAAGCCAGCCTGCAATACTCCACCGCGGACAATCCAATCAATGGCAACTTTAGTTGCAGAGGTTCCCAAACTTTTTTGCCTCGTGGACCACGTGCCAATTTTTTATGTTTTGCTTAAACTGCCTCTGTGGCCGAACGGTTACCATGCCGGACTGCCACGCAGAGACAGGTTCGATTCCCGGGCTGGGTGAAATATTTGTATAGCCTACATTTATTTCTCTCGTGAGTTGGGGTGTAATTTGTGATATCTATATGTACGTCCAGGGCACCCGCGACACAGAGCTTCCCTAGTGCGGAGTTATGTTGAGTGTATGCGTTATTATTATTATTATACATGGGTACCTACTATATGTGTAATGTGGATTATTCCATTTGTGTAAAACCAAAATGTTGGTCACGAGCTAGTCCAATGGGTTCCACTCTCGTTGACCCCCATATTTAGTAGCATTAGAACTCCTTGTGAAAAAGTTCGTTCAGGGAAGTACTGCCACCTTACCTATATCTACCGCCAGGATGAAATAACAGCATTAATGCATTCTTGTTTTGAAGTTCTTGTGAATTTACAGGCACATGGGACTTTTCAACTTATGTCTCGGGGTGACCAGCGCAGTGGCACTGTACTTTGGATCTTTGCGATTTAAAGCTCTGAATGGCACTGCAACTACTAAGGATCATATATATCATAAAAAAATATTTAAAAAAACCAAAAATGCATTCCCTATTTTTTTCATTGACCCCTTGTAAGGTAGACTAGATCCTGGGGGCAATACAGACCACTTTGAAAATTTTCGGTTTAGGGGCTATATTGACAATGTGTTAAGTACGCCACTCTCATTTCAGGTCCCATAATTACAGTTCCTCTATCAAGATACATAGGACGGCGATGGCTGGTGATGGGATCGAATCTACCACTCCTACTAGGCTGGCTGCTAGCCGGGGTAGCTTCGGACCTGCCCACCTTATACGTTGCTAGGCTTATGTGGGGCTGTGCCACGGGCATGCAGTTTGCTACTGTGCCGCTTTATATTGGGGAAATTGCAGAGGTACTTTAAGTAGAGCAGTACACATATTTATTAGCAACCCGAAACACATTTCTGAGTCTGTAGTTCTCTTGGACTTCCAATTCAAAACCAATGTAACTCTCCATCTATTCCATTGCCAACATTAGAATTTGACTCAACGAGATTGAATCGATTTGCCTTTTAATTACGTGAAAAACTTAGACAGCCGCAGAAAAACTAGAATCGTTAACATTTCCTTATTTGATGTGAGAATAAGGTTAAGAAATCTGACTCGTGATAACCAGAACCATACAGGTATCGATATCGGTACCAAAACAAAGTGGAATCATCATTCTTAGTTCAAAGAACTTTTTTAAATTTATTTATCCTTCCAATGACATTTCTACAGGTAGAGTTAGAATCCAATACTATACAAATCTAGAAAACTCGGACCCACTTCGTATGTCACTTGTGCACTAAGTCCCATTCGAATCCGATAAAATACGAATATCACCTTACACCTAGAGATAAAATTTATAGTTATAGTTCTGAATAGTCTGTCTGTATAGTTCCGTATTCGGAACTAACGGGAGACTTTGATTGCTCCGCTAATATTATAGTCACATAAACTGAAGTTACCTGAATACAGTTTTCGATATTTACTTACATTGTATCTAACACATATTTATTTATTTCATTTTTAACAGACTTTTACTACCTTTAACATAATAATGTAACTAGCAAATTAAAATTAAATTGGCCAGCGGCAGATCCCGTAACTCAAAGAATTAATAGAATAAAGAGAGTGATTTATTTCAGACCATGATCCATAGTAATGTTAGCACGTGTAGTTGCACCCAATGTTGTTGGTACGGCAACAACGGCTAGGATATGCCCTCTTGCGAATAATGGCATGAAAGCCGTCTGTGTGCGCCTCCGCGGACAATTAACGGGGCACTAACCCTAGCATAACAAACTGACTTAAGACAATGGTGATGATAAGCTAGGAATGTGAACACGGACGGCGATGTCGACCAACAAACTATTAAATCCACGGAAAACCTTTGATCTGATAAATAGACAAGCTTAAGACCACAAATTCACAACACTGGTGCGTTGTGCGGGGCGTACAAGGTTTGCGTGTGGATCATGGGTGTTATTACTTTTCAGGATCACAATCGTGGTGCTCTCAGCTCTTTATTCCTTCTCTTCATCAACGTAGGCTTCCTGCTCGCGTACGCCATCGGCCCCTTCACATCGTACTGGGGCCTCACAGCCTGCGGGGGGATACTTTCACTCTTCTACGTGCCTTTCACGTGGTTCATACCTGAGACACCATTCTTTTTAGTATATAAAGGTAGGTTCGTTCAATTTGACAACCACTCCCTTGGTTTACCAACAGAAACGTACTTGTGTACTAGTCTCGGAATTTTTTTAAACCAAAATTGTAGGGGAAAACAATTTCCTTGCTTTTTTTATAAAAAAAAATTAAGGGTATATTAATTTGACCTCAATCTCACCTAATGGAAACTAGTGGTGAAATTACAGGCACATAGGACCTGTCAACTTATATCTCAGGGTGACGGACGCAGTTGGAGTGGCCCTTAGATCTTTGCGATTTGAAGCTTTGAGAACACTGCGACTGTTATGGACAGACGTGTCGCTTTCCCCCAGTTCATCCCGTCACTTGGTATCAATAAACAAGTGGCGATAAGGTCGATGATGAAGCCTAAATAATGCCTATTCTCATTCTCGCCTCGAAAAAGCCTTAGTTATAGCGTTCAGGGGAATACGTATGCAGGCAGGGAATTCCACTCTATAAGTGGAACTTTTTTCTCTTTCAACTTATAAACTCATAAGCAGGAAAAATAAAGAAACTTAAAGCACCCTCACTAATGTATTTACAGATCGCAATACAGAGGCATCAGATGTGCTAAAAAAACTCCGAGGCACCTCGAAAGAGGCGGTGCAAGCAGAATTGGAAGGTCTGCAGGCCTTGGTCGCCAGGGAGTTTAAAGAGGAACCCAAGATTTCTGACTTGTGGGCTACAAGAGGCAACGTCAAGGCTTTGGGTAAGTATATAAACATACCGACAAGTTGTGATACCTGTAAAAAGGGTTCTGACATACTACATTTATTCAAACTCTACGTTTCCAGGCTTTTTTAAGAATCATTGTTCGTACAAATCCGCAATATATAGAAAATTTGACATTTTAAGAAACATATTTTAATTATTTATATGTTATAACCACACTGGTGTTTTAATCTTTTATAATATTGATCATGAGCTAAAATTATTGTCTGAACTTTGACAATAAATAAATATCAATAAATGGTATTGTGTGTTACGAACTAATTTATAAATTAACGCTTCCTAATACCGGTAGATGGCGCTGATCGTAAACACAATAAAAGCATAGCCGGAAGGTATCCACAAAATTCTGCAATAAACGCCATCTAGTTGATTTATTTGTTATCACTAGAAATTAGGGTAGCTATGATAAATTGCAGCTTGTTAATATAAAACAAATTTTTTAGTTAAAAATATAGCTGTTTGATATTTTGTGGCGATAGGTCATCGAATATATAAAAAGAAATAGAGACGAAATGTCATTTAATTTGTTTGAAAACTATTCTGCCATATCATTACGGTGACAACTGCGCTCCGATTGACCAGCCCGAATTCGAAATAATTGACGGGTGTCGTCAATGGTTTCACTTCAAAATCGACCAGTTTAACTTGAGCTTTGCTATAATGGACAAAAATTGAAAAATTACATATTTAATTACCGATGTGATTCCGTTTGTTTTGTAATTAGATGTTTTGCTGTTTTTCCCACACCACCGAATGGTACAGCCCCACATTGTTAGAGATATTATCTTTATTACAATAAATACAGAATATTTTTGCAATATACGGAGACGTATGCACAGGTCAGTTGTTGGCGCTGTACTATTTCAGTTTTCTAATTTTGTTGATATTTAAAAGAGTTCATATTTAAAAGTGATATAAGGCCCATTTGCCTGATGAGTTGGGATGTATGGGCCGTATTTCGTCTCTATTTCTGGTTATAAGTATACTCGATGCAATAGGTACTAAATACTCGACTACGCTGATGAAGCATGGTGACACATTAGTGTCACCATGCTTCATCAGCGTTTAGTTTAGTTTAGTTTAGCTCTTAAAGTGCAATACATTTACAACAAATCATATAAAAATGTAACAGAGACAATTTGACTGTAATTTCGCTACATATGACATGCAGGCATCTAAATCCCTAGATTATAAGTAAATATAGTATTACAATGCTTTGCCAGGTATCTGCGTGTTCTTGGCAATGCTGCTTCAGCTATCCGGCATAGACGTGCTACTGTTCTACATGGAAGAGCTGTTGGTCAAAGTCGGCACGAAAATCTCCGCTTCTGACGGCACCATCATCATGGGAGCTGTGCAGGCACGTATTTTTTTAGGGACTCTATAATATCTGTTATAAGACGCCTGTTAGAGGTATTGTATTGGCCAATTAACTCAAGACTTCTATTGTAGATGTAGAGTAGTTCTACTTGAACTACTACTAACTAATTGCAGCACGATCTGAAAGACTTACGAAATAAAACAAACAAAAGTTGAGAAGTGATTTAGACCGGACAATATTATTCCTATAATCGGACAATAATAATATTATCGCACTATGACCATAGGGTATCTAGAAAAGTACGTGTTCTATACAAAACAAAAACATACTTGCTTGAGTCTGAAGCGTGTAATTATATTTAATACAGTCAAAAGTAATTGGGCATTTAACGCTTTTCCCTCTCTCCTTTGCTGTGGGTCTTAGGATGACAAACGAGTATATAACCAGAAATAGAGACTAAATAAGGGCCATCCATCCCTGGCATCTCATCAGGTAAATGGGCCTTATATCACTTTTAAATATCAACTCTCGTTTGTGCTGAAATCACAAATTAGAAAACTGAAATAGTGCAGCGCCAACAACTGACCTGTGTGTACGTCTCTGTATATTCCAAAAATATTCTATATTTATTGTAAAGATAATATCTCTAACAATGGGGGCTTATTCCATTCGGTGGTGTGGGAAAAACAACAAAACATTTAATAACAAAACAAACGGAATCACATTTCATCGGTAATTAAATATTAAATATGTAATTTTTAAATTTTTGTCCATTATAGCAAAGCCCAAGTTAAGCGGGTCCATTTGAAGTGAAACAGTTGACGACACCCGTCAATTGTTTCGAATTCGGACTGGCCAATAGCAGCGCAGTTGTCACCGTAATGATTTGGCAGAAGAGTTTTCAAACAAATTAAATAACATTTCGTCTCTATTTCTGGTTATATACTTGATGTAGGATAAAGGAATGCTAAAAAAAGATCGAATTATGACAATACGTTCATATGAAGCACTGGCCACATATACCAGAACGTTTAATTGAAATAAAAAGATTGTTGAGTTCATTCCTGTAACAAATTTAAAGTTCTGGGCCCCAGGTCCACTAACTGTTAGTTACGACATTTAGATTAGAAGGCAGTTGAGTAACAAATCTGCCTTTGAACAACACTCGATGAACAGTTGGTGGACCACAATTTTTTTTTAATTAGCCTATTCCCACGTGTCAAACCAAAACGATGCAAGTCCGAGTACACAGTTCCCGCTCCGGCGCACGCGTGCTGGGCTCCGTAATCACCGTTTTACGACTAGCCGTATTCCATCGCGAACAAAAAGGTTTGGTGGCACCTTCCTCTGTCGCACAGTTGAGAAATGAAACTTCCTTTCAGGGCGTGTATTCCCGCCGTCTTACGATATGATCTTGTAGGCATGCAGGGTGGAGGTGGCTAGGGCAATGATTGTATCAACACTGCACTAGGTTCCTTCACGTTTGGGTTCCATTTTACATCAGGTGGAATGGAGTCATCTGCCTGTCATGTATAAAAAAAGCAGTGTTTTCTAATTTCATTAAAACAATAATCTTTCGGCTGTTGTGAAAAATAATTTATTCATTTTTAATAGATACAGCTTATTTTGCAAAGTAAAACTATAATGACTGAATAGAGTTCTTTAATATTGAATATGGAAAGTAAGTTATATAAAGTTAGTTATATCTTTATGTTATATATAATGTTATAGTAAAATGCATGATTTTATGTCATGAACCTCAAAAATTACCAAAAATAGAAAAATTATTGACATTACAGTGTATTTGTTTAACACGGTAGTATTGTGTCCTACTGTTGGGCACAGGTCTCTCCTGTCGAGTGCCACATATCCCGGTTTGACACAAATGTCAAGCCTTTCCCTTATATACGCAGTAGAGCTTCTTGTGAAAGAATTCAGGGAAGTACTACCACCTTACTATTTCTGCGTTCCGGTTTTGAAAAGTAAAATAATAGGCACATGGGACTTGTCAACTTGTGTCTCAGGGAGACGGGAGCAGTGGCAGTGCCCCTCAGACCCTTGTGATTTAAAGGTCTGAGTGCCACTGCAATTGTTATGGACAGGCGTGTCGCTTACCATCAGGCGCACGATTTGTTCGTCCCGTCACTTAATGCCTACTTATATTAAAATGTAGCTCAGTTGGTAAAAACGGTGGCCTCGGTGTGGCAACAGACGCTGGTTCGAGTCCAGTCAGATCGAAGAAATTTTTCAGTGATATTCGATCATTGTATGACAGAGAATTGTATTTTAACAAAACACATATTCAACAGGTGGTAACAAGCTGCATTACTCCTCTGGTAGTGGATCGGTTGGGAAGAAAACTGCTAATGTGGACTACCTCTCTGGGACTCACTATCTTCCTTGTAAGTTTCGTATACAATACTATCAAAACAGATTTTTTTAAACCAGTTTAAATTATTAAGGCCAGTGTCACTAACTCGGATGTTTAAGACGCATTTTGTAAGGTACATAACAAAAATAGTGGAGATATTTCACAAAAAGTCAATAATACATTTGATCGAAAAGCTACATCTGCGTCAGTTGTGACACCTGTAAACGTATCGGCTGCGGTGAGAAGGTTATTCAAAAATCCTCGCTAGTTGTTACTAGCGGCGACGAATGCCGAAAGTCAGCACTTGAGCTATAACAAAAAACACTCGCCAACTCGGTAACTTGACCTGGCTCAGTTGGTAAGAGGGTAGACAGATATGTCCATTTTAAAGCTGTCATCTTCCTCTGACCAGTCAGCCCGTGACCATGAAGCGTTTAACTGTTCCGAAATATCGAGAAAATAAGAAAAAATCAGTGGTAAGTATCGGGGTAAGAAACCTATAATTAGTGATAATCATTTAAACAAATTGAAAATGCTACAATTTTTCGATCTAATTCGCGTAAATTTGTTTGTTCAAACAAACCAACGTTTCGAGCCCTTTACAGGTTCCATGGTCACGGCTGACTGAGATGGTAAAGTCATTAACCAGTTATGTCTAATATTAACGTAAACCACCTTATTTGTCACTACAGTTGCAAAAGCTATTAATTTAAATACCTTATTTTTTTATTTACCAAGGAACAATAAACATATGGAAATACTTAATTTTAGAAATAAATATTTTAGAAATAATTGCCTATTACGACCCTTTGTGCATCCATTGATCACAAAAACGCGAGAGTATATTAATTCCCCAAAGAACCTGAAAGAAGAAAAATGTTGGAAAATGTAGAAGTTGTAACTTTATCATTCGAAAGACTGACAAACTAAAATTCTATGGGTTTCTGGATAATGTGTTTCTAAACGTGTTCCTATTAATAAATATCATTGAAGTGGATTAGTTAATATACAAAATAAGATCAAAGTTCACTTGCATTCACTCTTAAAAACTATTAATATATATTATCACGCATAAGTGGTGCCACTAGTTAATTAAAATGAAAGTAAATTCCTCCTATTCCGCGAAACCAGTAGCAAATTAATTTACTTCCATTTTCATTGACATGGATTTCCGCAAAGTAACGCCTGAATCTATTCATTTTTGGCGTCACTAATGTCTATAGACTTACAATTACAATACAATTTCAGTCTATTTGGCGTTTTTTCCATGTCGAACATTATATTGGCTATGGTCACATAATTGCACATATTCATAAAACACACACATTTAACGAAACGCAGTGTTCAACATAAAGCAGTGTTCAAAAATTTACTTTTTTCGTTTATTTCTTTTAATTTTCTACTTATACAGATTTGTCGTTCGAGGTTCATTTTGCGTTCTTGTTAATTTTGTGACCAATAAAAATAAAATTTGTTTAATTTAAATGTTCTTCAATAAAGCTTGTATGTAGTAAATCGGTGTTAAGAGATGTTAATTTAACTGCTCCTTTATGCTTCTTAATTCTTATTTATTTATATACAAACGTTACTATTTTACATTCTTACTTTTGTTTGTTTCGCTAAATGTATTTATATATGTGAAATATTTCAGGGCCTAATCGGCGTGTATGCATTATTAGATTCATACTACAACTACGACATGGGGTCGTGGGCGTTCCTTCCGCTCCTCTGTCTTATTATCTACATGATACTCTTTACTTTGGGTAAGATGCAATCGTTTTCTTCACATTATATAGTTTTAGTGTCCTAATTCAACTTAAACCTAATTACATAAAATTAAAAACATGACTTAAATATTTGAACATGAGCTCAGAACGTGAACACTTGAGTATTTTATGTAGTGGTACAAGTGGGACAAATCAGTAAAGTTTATACCACCTATGGGTACTGGTTGATGATTCAAGTGGTACGGGGGGATATCGAGAACATAATACACTCCACATTAAATGCCATAAACTTAAACAATGTTTTTATTGATTAAAAATTATCATGCAATTCTGAAACGTATACAGTCGAGATACTAAGGGTCACTTTCATAAAGTCCTTGTTAAAATAAAACTGAGGAAAATTTTTCTTCAATGATCACAATATTTTTGCTCTTTTTGAATAAAAATGCACGGTGTCTAGAATTATGTGTCCGGGAGTATATTATATTCGTTAACACTAAAATTCAAAAAAAAATAAATACAAAATGTAACTTTTTGCAGCAAAAGTTTATCTTTTCAAGTAACGAAATTTAATTTTCGACTCAAAGCCCTGGTAATACTGAAAAAGACTAAAATAAGCTTATCATCTCTGATTCAAATTTGATACATTACTCATTATTTTTCAAGCTTTGTAATTTATACATAAGAACAAAGTTATCTGTGAAAAAAAGACGATTTTTGTGACTTACGATTGCAGGTGTGGGCCCGGTACCCTGGATCCTGGTGGCGGAAATGTTTCCGGTGAAGACCAAGTGTTTAGCCAGTGGAATAGCTTCCTTCATGTGCTGGCTGGCTGGTTTCATCTGGACCAGGTGTGTTGCTTTTGTTCCATCACATAAATCACTGCAGGAATCGATCCGATCGGGTAGCCCATCCGCAATATTATACGCCTCGACTCGGAAAAGACGCAGGTTCCAATCGGGAGAAGCAATCAAAATCAAGCTGCTGAGGTCCATGCCTTTACCAAATAGACCCGTTTTGAACAACCCAGAGACATAGATTTTTATTGCGGAGACAAAAGCCGAAAAAACCAATACAAAATATCAATGAGTGACTTAATCTTTAGCTTTTTTAAATAAAAAATTTACACGCGCTTGGCCACGATCTCACCTGATTTTAAGCGACGATGGTACGCGTTTGCTCAAAAAATGCCTGTTCACTCTAGCCTTGAATAGCCCCAAATTGTACTTTTCAGCAAACACAGATTCCATTCCTTTGTCGTACGCATCAGAAAGGAGAAAATAAAGCGCTTAGTGCGAATGGGTGGTATATCAACGACATAAGGATAGAGTGTTCCGGACCTTCTAGTCGACCGAAGGAGGTTAGTTGACAGAACTGACCCTACTTTGGCATAAAGACACAGGTTCCGAATCTAGTCAGACCGAAGGAATTTTTCTGTGTGTTCGATCTTTGTACTAATAATTATAACAACCCATAGACATCCCACTACTGAACCCAGGTCTTCTCCAGCGAGAAGGTCCGCAATGCGGATTGAAGACTTCACACGTCTTCGTTGAGTTTTATTACCTTTCTAAGACGAGGTAACAAAAAAATCATCTCTCCGTGAACCAGGTTCTTTCGTGACGTAGCAGCATCGTATGGCATCTACACCGCTTTCTGGGTACTAGCTGTGTGCTGCGGCGTCGGCTTTGTCTTCTCCGCTACACTTCTCCCCGAGACCAAAGGCAAGACCTTCGACGAGATTCAGGACATGCTTAATAACAGGTAGTTACTACTTGACCGAATTTTATTAATTTAATTAAAAACAATATAAATAAAAAGAAATATAAATTTGACAGAAAAATATTTTTAATATCTTAAACACCGAGCGTCCGTTTCAATTCTGTAACGAAGTGCGCGTGTGGGTACAATTCTGTGCAATTCGAGTGCACCGCGAGATTATGCGAATGTGTACGTACGTACACGGCACCAAGCATGCATGCACATAAATAATAAACAATCAATAAATAAAGCACACACCCGTAACCCCGCACTAGGGAAACCCTGTGTCGCGGGTGCGATGGACACCCACATAGACAACCACAAATTACACCCAAACTCACGTTATACAATAAATGTAAGCGATACAAATATTTCTCTCGGCCCGGGAATTGAACCCGGGACCTCTACGTATGGCAAATCAGTATGGTAACGGAGGCAATACATATAAGCCGAACTGCTACGTTTGTATGGAGTTTACGAGATTCGCTCATTCATTAATTCATTCTACGTTTGTGCTGGAAGTGGACACGCCACAAATATTCAATCACCTCAAGTTGTTAGCGAGACTGACTGGAATTAGCCGGTTTACCGACAAAAGAATTGGCATTATTTCAATGGAGGTCATATCCGCATGATATCGTGCGCTAGTTCTAGATACTTCCGTTTTTTCTATTTTCAGTTCTATTAATAAAGGCGAATAAATTAGATTTTACCAATTTGAAAGAACTAATTTACTCTGTAGAAAACATTGATGCCAAAAGTCGACATCAGTACCTCCACCAGGTCCAAAGGTACATCTACATTATCGTCATTGACCTTCTCTACTTTTTCTTTAAAATGTTATGGCACCATCGAAATAATCGATAATTTCACCAATGCCAATAAAGCCGTTACACATCTGGCTGTCACACACGCATTTCATGCATTTCATTTTTTATATGTTGAAAAAGTTTGTGATATACAACTTTTTTTACAGGTCCAAAGAGCCGAAACCAGTGGCAGTATAGAAGTAACCGTTAAGCCATATGATATCTACTGTATTGATCAAATTTGTAAATATTTAATAACTTAGCATCATACACAGTGTCAGGACGATTCAAGAAACAAATTGTTGCAAGGGCGAAATATATCAGTCTAGCCTGTAGCAGTCCGTCAGCTAACCGTGTTGACTACATGTGTATATTGTGTCTTTCCTGTTGAATATTGCATTTAAATTGTCTATCAAAAGTTTGTCAGATTATTAGTACAAACCACGGTTTAAATGGCAACACTGAGCCGGAATGACAGAATACCACCGGACTGTCTATCACTTTACGCGGTACACCCACTGGCAATTATTAATCAGTATTCAGTCTTGCGTAGCATAATATCACTCTTCTGACTAAAGATATTTTTCACCGCTTCTTGCCCGTGGACCACCTGACTTGTTCACGTGGGTGGACCACGGGCAATTATTTCTTCACGTGGTTCACTTATTAACGTAAAATACCGGTTCTATAAAGAGAGGGATCACATGTTAAAGACTAATTTTTTAGTTTATATTTTCCACTCCTCGGTTGAGAAATAAGTGCCACAGAATAATATATAACATTATGATAGACATTTTCTGAAATAAATGAAAAAAAAATCCAAATATAAACTGTATACATTAATATTTTATTCTAACCTTACACAATAATAATAAAATCATAATCAATATAATGAAAAATACAATCAATTTATAAATAGACGTTTATCTCTGGAATTGTAATGGGCAAATTCGAAGTCCTAACACATCCTTTCCGATTTCGGCTACGCCACAAACTGTGCAAAGTTTTCCTTTGTGTTCTGGTAGGAATGATGCCATGCACAATGAGCACTTTTCTTCGGGCTTGCCCCTGTAGATTGGCTTGTAGCTAATACCGCAAATGTTGAATGGATTGTGCTCGTCGTATAATAGTTGGTGCTCGTCTGTGGGTGTTTTCTCGCAGGCCTGTTTAGACGTAATAAAATTACAAATACAGAAACATCGATTTTACCACAACACAACTATGGAAAGCCCCGTGTACGTCAAAATACACATAATATGTGAAATTATTCAGACCCAGCAAGGATTTGTCAACAGAGAGATTCGATTGGATCGAACCAAATAGATGGTTAGGGAGTCAGGTATCGTAGGGCGTCTTAAAAGCTTAAATGCTCTTACAGGGTATCACATGTATGTATGTACCTACTATGATTTTAACATCGAGTATATAACCAGAAATAGAGACGAAATAAGGGCCATCAACTCTGGCAACTCATCAGGTAAATGGGCCTTATATTACCTTTAAATATAAACTCTCGTTTGCGCTGAAATCACAAATTAAAAAACTGAAACGGTACAACGCCAACAGCTGACCTGTGTGTACGTCTATTCCGCATATTCCAAAAACATTCTGTGTTTATTGTAAAAATATCTCCAACAATGGAGGCTGTTCCATTCGGTGGTGTGGGAAAAACAGAAAAACATCTAATTACAAAATTTTAACATGTAATTTTGCAATGTTCGTCTATTACAGCAAAGCTCAAGGTCGATTTGAAGTGAAACAATTGACGACACCCGTCAATTGTTTCGAATTCGGGCTGGCCAATCGGAGCGCAATTGTCACAGTACTTAATGATTTGGCAGAATAGTTTTTAAACAAATTAAATGACATTTCATCTCTATTTCTGGTTATATACTCGATGGATTTTAAGCTTATTAACCTGTACTATAGTACTGTAGTACATGGGAATTGTAATATATGAATATGGCCAATGTTACCTGTAGTATCTTCCTCGCCTGTTGCGCAACCTCAGGCCTCGGCCCTAGCTCCAGTAATCTTCTAGCGAACGAAGCAGCGGTGCGGAAGTTCTTAAGCTTGAAGAACATATTCAGTGCCGTGCGTAGGGTCAATATTTGATGAACAGGTTGAAGTTTGCAATGTGTGAAGTATGCTGCCATTTCGCATGTGCGTTTTTGCTCGTCAAGGGTATTTTTCGGCATTCCTATGAAATCAACAACATGGTGAAAAATGATATTTCTGTAAAGATGGTTTTTATTTTGTTAACTGGTAAAAAAGCAAATCAAAAAATTGTGTGTGACGTCATTATAAAGGTACGTACCGGTATCTGAAATACAAATGGCAAAATTTATATTAACTGTCACTACGTCGGGCCTAGTCCCTTGTTGGGCGCCAGTTTAGGGTATAGGAATGGACTGTATTGAACTCACCAGTTTGCTAATAATAATCTGGTTAGGACAGCTGTCAGAATAGACAATTGCTCATACAACAGTGAGCCTGCTGCAAGCGTAAGCGCTCAAAACCCACATTTCTATTGCAGTCTCTCTTTAGATTTTAAAAATGGCGCCCAGCAAAGAGCTAGCCATGCATTTAATAAACAAAACAATTGTTATTAAATTACTAAATTAATATGTAACCTTTTCTAGCAGTTTCCATCTGCAAGCCAAGCAAATATTCTCTACAGATTGTCAACAACTGCTGCGCCTCACTAAGCTCAGGTTTTGTGTCAACGTGTAGCAAAGGCACGCTCTGAGCGATGCGTTGTAAACGCTCGATGGCCTCTGTGAACTTGCCGGCCGTCGTCATTTGATAGCATTGCTGTAGTTGCGCGACCAGGTCGTTTAGTTTTGCAGCTGCAATTTAAAAATTATCATTAAATGTTTGTTGTCAGCTATACGTACATAAGCATTAATTCATTAACTAAATAGTTAAATCATATGCAAAATTTTTTTGCAAACTAACTGAAGTAGTCTGCATTCAGTAGGCTGACGTTTGTCTGGTGGTATGGGCGTGGAAATTAAGGTTACTTCCGATATTAAGGTTACTGCCTTGACATACTATCTTCACTTTGACCACGAACAGATCCATCCACTAAAATCTGATTTGAGTGACGTGTTTCAACGTTTGCGTCAACGTTCAAGGCACTGTACAGTCTCGGACAGATCGGTCTATCTGTTGGCCGGTTTGCAAGTCGAAGAGGATCGATGAGGTACTCACTGACAATGGGCAGCAGGTCCTTCCCGCTGGCCTCCTTCCAGTTGCGGTGCAGATGCGCGTGTAGCGGCGGCACATTCGGCAGAGCACCGAAACTCATGCGAGCACGCGCGTACATGGCCAGCAGAGTATCCAGATACGGCTCGAAGTTCACTATGCCCACTTGCTCGTTTAGCAATCTGCAAACAAATTTTATTTACTACTAATATTGGGAACGAGTTATACCGTTGAATTATAACCGTTAATAATAAAAGTGATACTAACCTAGGTACTAAACTAATTATTATGTTTCCAATACTAATAATGGGATAAACTAGTGCCACCTTATGCCATTACAGGTATAAATAGGGACAGGTTAGTACCACTTATATCATTAATGGTATAATTCAATGGTATAACTGGTCCAAAGTTATTTGTTAAATAATAATCTTTTATTTTCAATCACAATGGCATGACCCTATATATCCGTAAATATTAAAAAAAAATAAACTAGCTCTACACAGGTCTACATACACACGTAGTTAATATATATGATATTTATTTTATTAAATATTGTGATTTTTTTACTATCACGATGTACATATTTTTTTATGATTCATTTATTTCTGACGATATATAACAAGTATATAACAACAAAAAATAAATGGCTTGTCTATTCATTTTAATTATCAATGAAATAATTTTGTATTGAATTGATATTCAATTATTTTTTGTGAAACTACTCCACTAGTTAGTTACAATTATTAAAGATCGAAGGAATTCTAAGTGTTCGATCTTTGTACTATAATAAATGAAATAGTTTCTATTTTATTATCGTCTGACATAACAACAATTGATTAATTTGGTAGGCACTTTTTTCAATCAACTTGCTATTGAATATCGTCAGAAAAATCTTGTTGAAATTATCCCGGGTGCAGCACGACATTACTGTTACGTAAACTGTCACTCCTCCAGTACCTCGCACCCACCTCAGGAACCAACTTAGTTAGTGTGAGGCCAGACGAGTGTAATTTGTGAGTCGCGTAGTTTGAGTTGCATAGTTTGGGCTGAGTTCGGTTTCATATAAAAGTACGGTTTGAACAACTTACTTGATTGTTATTATCATTCTTTCCTCTGGACTGATGGTGTGTCTCATATATGTATCTGACTTAGTAATAGAAGGTTTTACTAGGTTTAATAATTCTTGATTAACATTTATTGCCATATGGTAGTAGTCAACAAATTGATCTGAATGTTCACATAAACTTGTATATAATATATGAAACTGCCCACATTTTAATCGTTTCGTATTGAGTGCATGTAACCAGCTTCTTTTGCTAACATCGTCTTCTAACGCTTTTTAAATTCATACTATTTTTAATGGATCCATTACACTAGTACAACACAAACACCCCGTATAAACGCTTAAAAGCAACTGAATAAAATACGTTCGTCTGGCGCTCCAACCGAATTTCGGCCGAGCGCAACCCGTGCAACTTAAAAAACACAACTCATAACCCATAAAATTAACGCTCGTCTGGCCTCACCCCTAAGCGGTAGGCCTGTACCTAATTTGAGATCAGGTAATGTCTTTTAAAAAATCGCATAGAACTGAGCAGTCGGTTTAACGTGATATGTTTACGCTGACCGATCTCTTTCGTTACGATGATCTTTTTTTACGTTGCGGTCTAAACTTCTATCATGGTACTCGTATGTTTCGACCACTCCTACGAAAATACCATATGTCGAAATTGCCAAGTTTACAGGGGAGTCTTTTAAAGTTCTGAATTCACTCAAATAAGCATAACACGTGACTTTAGCATTTCTCAATTTTATTGGGCAAAGCTCACACTCACATAGATAGTAGAGTATTATAAAAACCTAGATATCGGTTAGATGATCTATGATGATCTGTTATATGATCACTCTATGTTAGTAACGAGATTTGTGGTATAAAACGGAGAACTTTAAAACGTTCCCGTTGTAAACTTGACATACGGTACTTTACGTACGACGGGTCGGTTTATGTCTGATTTTAAAGGCTTTTCATATCAAAAGTACAACTGTGTATACAAGGTCATAAAAATCTTTGAAAATCATGCAAAAACCTCGAATTATGAACAGCCCGTTCCTTTCTACATTAGTTTTGATTACAGTGATCCTCCCTACCGATCCTTAGGGTATACGACAAGGGTACTATAGCCTGCGCAAGCACGGCAATCTTCTCAGCCAGGTCAGCCCGTTTGCACAGACTTCATACGGTTCTCAAAATAGTGCCTTGTGTGAGCTGCCCCGGGTGCACGTACAGCACCCTCCCTATTTTCCAGATAAGTACCGGAGCTGTTGGCACGATCACTTTCCATTAATGGTTCCCACCACTAAGCCATTGACTATAATGTCTATTACCAAATCTCCTCTAACCTAACCACAAACCCCGGCTAATCCACACTCAAGTCCGGATCCACCAGAGACGCCCGTGAAGGCATATCGCTGGCGGAGGGCTAGGTCAGGACGCCCGCTGTATTACCGGGGAGACCAGAACTCCCTATCTCTCAGGTCAGTAGATAAGGACACGTATCATGAATTCATTCATTCAGACATCGATATGATGCACATATGAAAATATTTATTGACCTGAGGGCGACCTCGAACTGCCCCGTGGCTACGTGGTCGTGTGCAGTCTTGAGCTTGCTCGACAAAGCCACGCTGGTACCACGAGTGGGAGCCACGAAATAGTCCGCCGTTTCTTCCGCGTCAATGTCCGCTGTTGGATAGAAAAATATGTTATTATTATGTTTGGAAGATTACTGATACTGATAATTTAAACTCATCGAGAATATAACCAGAAATAGACACGAAATGTCATTTAATTTGTTTGAAAATTATTCTGTCAAATCATTACGATGACAACTGCTCTCCGATTGGCCAGCCCAAACTCGAAACAATTAACGGGTGTAGTCAATTGTTTCACTTCAAATCGACCAGTTTAACTTGAGCTTTGCTATAATGGACGAAAATTAAAAAAATTAAACGTGATTCCGTTTGTTTTATAATTAGATGTTTTGCTGTAGTCCCACACTACCGAATGAAACAATCCGATTGTTAGAGATATTATCTTTATTACAATAAATATAGAATATTTATGAAATATACGGAGACGTACACACAGGTCAGTTGTTGGCGCTGTACCATTTCAGCTTTATAATTTGTGATTTCAGCGCAAACGAGAGTTGATATTTAAAGGCCCATTTGCCTGATGAGTTGCCAGGGATGGATCGCCCTTATTTCGTCTCTGTTTCTGGTTATATGATCGATGTTTAAACTGAATAATATTATGGAACCTACTTATGATTTTTCTTTTACATATGTAATGAAAGTATTAAAAAATCGAACTCACGTAAGAAATCTTTGCCTGAAAATCGTAAAATGTTTAAATAAAAAAATTCTAACATTCGAACGAGACTTTTGATGATTAAGCAAAAAGAACATATTTTTTAGCTCGGAAGAAATTTCCGAATTTAAAATCTGTTTATATCATAGATAAACTAATTAATCACGCTTATTATCGTCAAATTAGTTGGTTACACTCTACTACTCATTCGTAAGGCCGTATGTCGTAAAAAATAGAAACTTTTCAACTATTTGTACTCATTTATGTTTCACAAGAATTATTGTATAATACCAATAGTTGGAAACCATCTGAGAAAGCCTGATGCCAATCTTTCGATCGCAATTAATTGTAGGTATGGTAGGAACCGTACCTACAATTAATTGCGATCGAAATATTGGATTTATACATTTTCTTTAAACTTGTCTTAAATAGGTATATTTAGAAAGAAAGAAGAAAGAAAGAAATTTATTTACCAGATACAGGTGCCAGTTCTTCCGGCAGCTCGAGATCTTCGTCGCCCACGTCCCATCCGCCGTCGTCGCACGCGTCTTCCTGTGCGTCGCCATCGCCAATGTCCTCCTATTTACGATATAATAATGAATGTTATTTATTTTAATTTAGTTAGTCCAGTTCGCCAGTATCTTTAATTAGCATTCATCGAGTAGAAAGAGAGACCAAATAAGGGCCATCCATTCCTGGCGACTCATCAGGCATATGGGCCTTATATCACTTTTAAATATCAACTCTCATTTGCGCTGAAATCACAAATTAGAAAACTGAAATAGTAGTAGTATAGAATCGAACCCATGACCTCCAGGACGAGAGCGTGATACCTAAACATTATTGGCTATTTTGTATTGACTTCTGTTTCAAGCACCGCGTGACAAGTGAAGTTCGAAATTGAACCTTTCAGCAAGCGAATCTGAGTGTAAGATGTGGACCTTGTCTGCCTTGGCGAGGACGTCGTCGTCGTCCCCCCAGGCGCCGCCGGCGTCCAGCGGCTCGGCGTCGATGTCGGCCGCGGCCGCCGCCACGCCGCCCGCCGCCGCGCCTGCGCGCGCGCCGCCCGCCACCTCGAAGAAGCTCCTGGCCACGAGACACGAGTCACATGTAACAACAGCTCGTTACCAAATACAAACCAAAACCTGTATTCTATATGTACATAATTTTATGTTATGTATTATACTTTATACTATATTATACCAGATCATCATTATCAACCCATTTACACATCCCACTGCTGGGCACGGGTCTCCTCTCAGGCGAGGGTTTAGTCCGTAGTCCGCCACTTTACAAGTTTTCCGAGGATTGTAAATGTTCTTCGAGGTTTCATCACGATGTTTTCTCTCACTGAAAAACTCATAATAAATTACTAATTAAATTTCGCACATAAATTCCGAAAAGCTCGGAGGTTGAGGATGAGCCCGGAAGCCGTGGTAGCCCAAACCATTAGGGCTACCACTGCCCAAACCATTGGGCGTGGTAGCTTTTTAGAACTAATTGATTAAACGTATCGTAAGCTACTCGTAACGGCGGAACAAATAAGAATTAGACATAAAGTAGCAATTTAATTAACATCGGCTTTTTACAGCCCTATTCAACATCTAATGGAAAATCACGAAATTAAAGAAAATTTATTTTTTTAAGATTTTGTGACAAAGCAGAAACGGCTTAAAATTGAAAAATGTAACAGTTTAACATTTTTTTTATTGTACCAAGTGGCGGGACGAAGTCGTGGACCTGGTGGTACGCGACACGTTTGTCCTTAACAGTTCCAGTGCCACTCAGAACTCTTAGTCAATAAAAGAAAAATGAAAGAATGTTCCCTTTAAGTAAAATGGTCATCTTCCTGGCCCATTGATTTTTTCCACCCTGTATGTGAAGAATATAGAACGTACTTGGAAACGGCAAGCAGGGGCCAATTAGGCTGAGCCTTGACGACAGGCAGGGGCGGGCGCAGAAACACCGCGTTCGGATTGGCCTCGGGTACGGGAAGGTTCGCCGCTTCGAGCGCTGAACGGAGCTGCTCAGCTTCTTCCACTTGCTTGTGGTTTATTGCCGTTAGGTACGCTAGAGAGAGCTGGAACAAAATATTTACTGACAGTTATTCACATATTTAAACTTATTTACATAATACAATAAAGTACAAATTGCGGACTTAATGTAGTTCTCTATCAGTCAACCGTTGGACCAAACAGGAAAAAAAACAAAAGCCATAATGTTATAGTTAATTTATATGGAACAAAATAAATATAACATAAATAATAAATATAGTTTCGGAACGACGATAGATTGTGTGTGTGTTGTTAGGGGCTTGGGTGTATGTTTTGACTCCTCCTTGTCATTTAGATAACATTACGATTATGTTATCAACAAAGCCAATAAAATGTTAGGATTCTCTTTCGTACCACAAAACCATTTAAAAGTAGACAATCGTGGATCATGCTGTACACTGCGCTAGTGCACAGCGTAACTAAGTACTGCTCGTCGGCATCGGCTTCCCATATACAAAATTCACACTGATAACATTGAGTCTATATTCAACGTTGGTTTTTAAGAATGCTTTGCAGTAGGCTTGGGTTAAGGCGTAAATTGTCAGGCTATGAGAATCGATTTAATGAGTTTAATTTATTAACCCTGGAGAGTCGTACAATCAAGAGTGATATGTGTATGCTGAACAAAATAGTTAATGGTCTATTAGGTGACACATTGCTAGACAGAATCTGTTTAAGGGTGTCAACTCGTTCTGTCCGTCGACTACAGTTATTTGTTACTCAAGTTTTAACTAATAATAATGTTTCTGCGTATAATCTAATTGGATCTTCTAATGATCATGATATTATTGTATTGTAAGTAACTTAAAACATTTTCTTCTTAATTTTTAATTATTCTTTATTTTCACAAAATCGCAATATTTCTTATTCTAGAATGCTGTGTACAGTTCTAATTGGAATGCAGATTTATCGTTATTCTACTTTTCATTGTTGTAAAAATGCTGTTAATCTGTTTTCTGTAATTTGTGCCATATAGTTTGTTTATTGTACCATAAACAAACTTTTTATTAAATTTGACCATTTCCGCATTCCCGATTTTTTCTTCCCATAAAATGAAATCATTCTTATAGGAAACCGAGTCTATTAGCATTAAAAAACAATTAGTCAATTTTACTCATTTTGTATGAAAAATATTTTATGAATTTTGACCAACTTCGACTGCCCAATTTTTTTCGGTCCGTGCAATGAAATGATCCATTCACGAAACTGAGACGATTAGCACAAAAAACTTTTCAATAAAATTTTTTGATCAAGAACATTTTCAAAACGATGCTTGCGCAACGTACACTTGAAAGAGAATTTTTCACAAGGAGCTCTACTGCTACATGTTAGGATATTGTTAATCCGTAGTAATATTTTGTAGTCACGCTAACCTGGCCAGCATTCTTCAACAACCGTATCCTCTCCTTGATGTCGCCGAGTAGCAAAGCTCCTTGGAACTGAGAGGACACGTCCTTGCGAATTTCAGCGATCTTCATCATCTTGCGCAGCTTCTCCAGGTTACCAGTTATGAGATACAGGAACGACAGTTTATCGAAGTTCTTCGTGCGTTGGTAACACATCTCTACTATCTGCGCAAAAAATAAAATTATATTTTTATACACTAACTTCTAGTAACTTCTTTTAAATACCTTGGTCATTATGTTACCGACGACCTTAAAGACAATGCCGACATTGAAAGAGAGCGTAGGGCTCTAGCGGTAAGAGGTAATATGTTGATCCGTAGGTTTTCCCGGTGCACAGAGGAAGTAAAAATAACGCTTTTTAAAGCATATTGTCAAAATTTCTACACCGGGAGCCTATGGGACAATTAAACCAAACGGCCGCTGGAAACCCTACGTGTACAATATAATAATATTTTTAGGATGATGTTGGGGCTGCCTCGTTTTTGCAGTGCGTCGGGGATGTTTACAGAATATGAGACGGATGGTTTTGCTGCCATCCTCCGAAAAAAGACAGCATCCCTGATGCGCGGGGTGTGGGACAGCCCCAACAGCATCCTACAAACTGTAGCTGGTAGGATCAACTCTCCCATGTGGCAATGCTTCGTAAGGAGGGTGATTTAACCAATTGATGATGTACAAATATTTACTAACACTAGTTTATAAGCTCTTTTTCTATTATTATTATTACTAACAGAATATGGAACTTGTTGTCCGAAATAAAAGTATTTTTTTTTATACACGTATTGCCGTGGTAGTAAGAGTTCCGGATCCGAGAAATTACGGTCCGAAATGTCACAGGGATCATTTTATCTCTAGGTGTACACGCGATATTCGTAATTTCTCGGATTCGAATGGGATTTAGTGCACAAGCGACATCCGAAATAGGTCCGAGTTTTCTAGATTTGTATAGAATAGACTCGTATTCGGAACGAATGCGAATGGCATGCAGTGCGTAAATGCGCTAATGATTTGACGTAGCGCCTCCCAACCAGAGACCGTGGGTTCGAATGCGGACTCGCACTTTTGAGTTTCTTGGTATTTATTTCATTTGAAACTTACCAGAAGCTTTTCAGTGAAGGAAAACTTCGTGGTGAAACCTGCATGTCCGAGAAAGTTCAGTTCACAAGCCCCGGAAAAAGTCCCCACCCAAACAGCATGCCCGCGACCCATGCCCAGCAGTGGGGCGTACAAATGGGTCAATGGTGATAATGACTCATATTGCACTTTCAGTCATCGCATTCATTATTAAAGCGACATCTCTAGTTGGCGATAGTAGCTGTAAAGGTACCTCTCTGAGTGAAGAAATAAATATCTCACACATGGATGACAAAGAAAAGAAAAGATCTGCGACAAGCACGTATAAAAATTCGTAAGGTCTGCTGGCTCCATAGAGTATATAACCAGAAATAGAGACGAAATAAGGGCCATCCATCCCTGGCAACTCATTAAGCAAATGGGCTTTACATCACTTTTAAATAGCAACTCTCGTTTGAACTGAAATCACAAATTAAAAAGCTGAAATAGTAAAGGCCAACAACTGACCTGTGTGTACGTATATTAAAAAAATATTCTGTATTTATTGTAATAAAGATAATATCTCTAACAATGTGGGGCTGTTCCATTTGGTGGTGTGGGAAAAACAGCAAATCATCTAATTACAAAACAAACGGAATCATATTTCATTGATAATTAAATACGCAATTTTTCAATTTTCGTCTATTATAGCAAAGCTTAAGTTAAACTGGTCGATCTGAAGTGAATAATTTACGACACCCGTCAATTGTTTCGAATTCGGGCTGGCCAATCGGACCGCAGCTGTCATCGTAATTATATGGCAGAATAGTTTTCAAACAAATTAAATGACACTTCGTCTCTATTTCTGGTTATATATATTATTACTGGTTATTATATACTCGATGGAACCAGCAGGCCTTACGAATTTTTCTAAGTGCTTGTCGCAGATCTTTTCTTTTCTTTGTTTTTGGTTTTTAACTACTTTTTTGCGGTAGCGCCATGTGTGAGATATTTATTTCTTCACTCAGAGAGGTACCTTTACAGCTACCATCGCCAACTAGATATGTCGCTTAAAATAATTGTACTTTTTAAGTTTATTCTATATCACGATGTTTTACTACCATGATATTCAATTATTTTTGTGAAATTACTACACTAGTTCGTTATAATTATTATAACAAATATCGAAACACTAGGAAAATTCATTCGATCTATTTTTTGAGTTTCCCAAACTATTTCTATTATAATTGATGCGAAGAAAGATGAGGTAGTGAACTTGGTAGAAGCCCTAATATCAGATGTAATCATTAGCAAACGTATAAAAATTACCAAAAGGGTCGTGTAACTTTTTCTCCATCTTTCGTATCAGTTATAACGAAACTTCAAGTATTAATGAACACTTAAAAGAAGATTTTGGATAATATGGATTTATAGAATGAAACGGGTTCAGCTTTCATTTCTCTATTCCACATAACCGTCCATTTGCGATAGGGAAAGCTTATTTACATTTACTATGTATTAAATCGTCGTCGATGACATCCATATTTGGACAACTGGTATAGCAATACCTGGTGGTTTCCGGTGGCCAAAGCGGCCTTGGCCAGCTTGTCCCAGGCGTCAGTTTCGTCGAGGCTCTTGGCCGCTTCAAGCGCCACGTCGATGTTGCCACACTGCAGCGCCAGAGACAGACGAGTGCGAGCATCCTTTACGAAATGCAAAGCCACTTCCGGGTAACCTGGACGGGAATGTATTTAATTAGTTTTTTCTTATAATTTTTAATACAAAGACGAACATAAAGAAAAAGTCCTCCGATCTGACAGGACTTGAACCTGCATGTGTATGCCTGTATCTAAAGCAACCGTTCTATAGTCGGTCTTTTTTGGTAATGGAATAAAATGACGGTTCATTGCGCAAAAACGTTGCCCGCTTGCAAGCAGCTAGTAATTACAGTCTTATTTAACCGCTTATTATAAAATCTTTAAATCGCTCTCTGGTGATATTTTCCAAATGCACGTTAAATGTTTTACCTTTCCAGCATCTAAATGGTTTCAAAATTCTGCTATTAAAAATTTAAACTTATAACCATACAATTTGGTATATATAACATTCAACCGATATCCATGCGAACGGTTACCCAGGTTCGATTCCCGGGCCGGGAGAAATATTTGTATGGCCTACATTTATTTATCTCGTGAGTTTGGGTGTAATTTGTGTGTCCATAGCACCCGCGACACTGGGTTTCCCTAGTGCGGTATATTGAGTGTGTGTGCGTTATATCACAAAAATGTTCAAAATTATTAGCTTATGATTCGCAAGGTGCATGGTGAGAATGTGATGTGAGAATCCCATACCTTTCTCCTGCAGATAGGCGATGATGCTCTGTCCAACAAGTTTGGCAGTCCGCACCATGTGCAGCACCTGATCGTACTGACGCGTCACCAGAGCCAATTTGAACCTAAAAAAAGTAATTTAAACTAGATTAAAAGCCTGTGGAACTGGGCTGGTCACGTCTGCCGCATGCCGAGAGAGTTGTGGGCCAGGATAACCACAGAGTGGAAGCCCCACGACTGAAAAAGGAGACGCGGTAGACCCAGTGGACGACGGCGGGATGACTTGGACTCCTTTTTCGTTAAAAAGCCAACGTCTGGCCAGACGTTGCCCAAGATCGAGAGCAATTGGAAAAGAGGGATAATGCCTGTGTCCAACAGTGGGACAAAGCGAGCTTATAAAAAAAAAAGATTAAAAGACAGTCAACAGCATTTTTATATTTTAGATTTAGCCCAAGTAGTAAAATATTGAAGTTCAATTTTAAAAATAACGAGAAAAGCCTATATAAAATATACAATGTGGTAGATTTTTAACCGACTTAAAAAAGGAGGGGTTCTCAATTCGTCTTTTTTGTATGTGTATGTTACGCGATTATTGCGAGATTATTTGAAAACCGATTTTGTTGATTCTTTTTTTGTTGGAAAGGGTATATTGGTCCCAGAAAATATTCCACCTCTGAGGATGGCAAACTAAGGGATGAATCGATAACCCATTTCAATAAAACTTGGCAAATAGATGTAACTCCATGAACTTTTGAGGTCAGTTTTTTTTTTTATAAAAAAGTTATAATTAACTGGGACAGTATGCGAAAATCCAAAACCAGATACAAAGAAACCATCTTTGGAACTATTAGGCTTTATTTGTGAAAACAAATTTGACACAGACAATATTATTTGGCCAAGCGTGAGTAGTCCATACAAATAAATAATATTGACAATTTTTTTAATGCTGATCGACTTACTTTCTTGTTAGGATGATTTCATTGTATCGGAAGAAACAATTGGAACAGCAGAAGTTGATCAAATTTTATAAAATGTTTTTTCATCATATATAGTCCAACTAAAAAGTACCTGTACTCCGTGGGGTCGATGTTGAGCACCTTGGGCCGGCACTCGCGGTCGAGACAGACCACCCTCGCACCACTCTCGCTGGCCAGCACCTTCACAGCGTACACGGGTACGTCCAAGGTGCGGATTATGCCGTAGTCCCTAAGCGGACAGTACAAGCTCAATATAGCAACGTGCAATTGAAAACCAACTTTTCCCATTTTTTTTTATATTCTTGGTAAAATACTTGAAAGGCACAACTTGTACAAAAACGAACGTTAATCCAATTCATCATAAAAATGTAATAAAATGTTTCGTCCTTCGTAATTAGCCATGCCATCTTAGATTTTAATTCTGAATTGTATTCACGGGAAATTCTCTTAAAAAATCTGTCACTTTGTGTTCACACTGTTCTCTGACACTCACTCATTCATCTCCTTCACTCTCATCATTTTCTTTCGTCGTTCACTCTCGTCATTCACTCTTGTCTTTTAGGGTGCGTTTCCATCATGTCGTGATAACAGATAGTCGTGCAGTTTAAAGTGTCGTGTCTCGTATATTTAAATGAAGTTGCTCACATATAGTATACAACTGTTTGTTTGTTTGTTTGTTTGTAACATGATTAACTGTCGTTCACGACTTTTTTGACGTTACGACGACAGATTGTCACGACAATGGGAAGCGCTAGAACGACAATCGTCGGACGATAAATAAAACGTCACGATAAAAATGTGACGACAGATAATCGCAGCTACTATTGTCCTCGCGTTTTAATTATCGTTGTCTGCAAGTGCTTGCTTCCTCTTCCGCTTTTTTAAAAAGTAACACATTCTCAAAATTTCATCTTCATCCATTTCCATTTCACAAACTATTAACTTCGAAAAGAACATAGAGGCGACTGCTGTGCATCAAACGATTCTGTCGTACAAACGACAAGGCGGCTACCGTGAACCGATAAGTTGTCGCCACGTTCCAGTAGGAACAGCTAGCAACGGCAGTCGTTTATTGACACCGTCGTAAATTATTACATTATAGCCATATTCCAAATGAAATTTTTTTACATACGTTTTGATTTTATTGAGATGGTTTGAGATTGTAATGGACATTTATTATCCAAGAACGGAATAAGCTGTGTATATTTAAACTAAACGTTTTGTAAAAACTAAGAAAAATTGAATTTAAAATTTACGAAATAAATTTGGGTTTTTAACTATTTAGTAAAACTTACATACTAAGAAATGTTGACTTGGCTACACCAAAAGACATGCAGTAAGAAATAAAAAAACTTTGTTTAAAATCGTACTTAACGTAATTTACACTGTGCTCAAAATTGCAGCTCAAAATGGAGTGCACACCGTGTCCTAAATAACCAAGTAACCTTATACAAAGCGACACTTACCCATCCCGGCAACAGTATTTGATATGGTTAGCCGTAGTGTATATAAACACGGGTTGTGGCGTGCTATCGTCAAAGGCACCACTCTTCACCCTCGCTCCCTCAGTGATCGTACATAGTTGTTCAAGCTTTTTCGTACATAGCGTCACTGTGTGCTTTCCTAGCAGAGCTACAAGGGACATGTCCGAGTTCCAGATTGCGTAGCGGCATTTGCTGACTTTAACCTTAATAAATAAAAATAATTAATATTAGCATGTATGAGCACGAAATAACACGACTTAATTATATGCTTAATTATTATAAGCAAATACAAAAAGCACAGTCTTACACGAATTTTATATTCACCGACTATGCTAAGTGTATTTTCTAATGAAAAAAAAAAATATTTCACAAAAAATTTATTATTTCAAAAAAAAAATTAGACTACAACACATACGCTGTTCTGATCGCAAAGAAAGTAACTAAAAGCACTAAACTTGTGTGATGAAAATCGGTAACTACGACGGTACCACAAACACCCAGACCCGAGACAATATAGAAACGTTAGTTTTTCAATATTGACCCAGCCGGGATCGAACCCGGGACCACCATGAAAGTCGGTGTGCAAGCCTCTCGACCACGAAGGTCGTCATTCCTTTCGTCACGACAGAGGTTGCATTAAATTGCACTTACAACTTCCCTGTCCCCACACAAGGCAATTATAGACCACCTTAAGTCTACTGAGTTTCTACAAAGTGGTTTTTTAAATACATTCTACTTCAAAAATCAATATTACACGGTACAAAAAAGATGCCATAGTTTTTGCTTCTTGGTTAGAGCTCAAGTGTTTTGCCAATTTTCAGATACTAATGAAACAGATATTGTATCACGTTCATAGAGAAAAAGGTGCTTGAAGTTGCATGGAGAGATGAGTCGCATATTATTCATGGTCTTATTTCAAAATATTCTCATGAGTCATATATGATTCATTGGACAAGGAAGTTGTTAAATTGCAATATCACTTACACTAAATTGCAAAAACACATACAATAGATTGTAAAACTACTTACGCTAAATTGCAAAATCGCTTACACTATATTGCACAAATACAAGATATTGTAAAGACACTTACGCTAGCAACAGTCCTTTTCTGCTGCACGTCCAGCAACTGAATGCAGTCCGGTTCTCGTAACAACAACATTCCAGTGCCTGCGTACATGATCTCTTCGCATGTTGGGGTGGATATCTTCTTTGATACCTCGTTCTTTAAGTTCTTTATAACCAGCTGTTGAAAAAGTGAAATATCGTTTAGTTAATTTTAAGGTACTTGGGTTATTTTACTTCCAAAACTCTTATAAAGAAGTTTCGTTTTGAATCGTGTTAAACTTATTATTATACACAAGAACTAAATATAACCAAAATTTGGTTACCCATCAGTAGTCCGAAATAGCATTATCCAGAAATAACGTTTCATAGAAATTTCATAACCTCGAAAGTAATTTTGAGAGGAAAATGTTTTTTCTTTTAAACTTAACCTAAACCTAACCGAACCTAATCGTGTCTTTGCGATAAACATCCAACATATCCTGAAGCAACATCTGCTCCGTTATAATTCGGTTTTGCGGTGTAATGAAAATTCGAACAAACGTTAATTCGGACAAAAAATTTTCGACTTTGTGATAGATTACCCCAAAATTTAATAGACAGGTACAACAGGCGCCTTTATTCCTAGGTCTCTTACAAACAACAAGATGTCAAAATGAACTTAACAATAATAGAGAGTGTAACAAATACAAAATAAAATACATACACACTATCACGCATGTCTCCCATTTGGGTAAGCAGAGATCATGAACACATGCCAAAATTTCGCAAATTCCTTTCGCCTTTTTCATTCCTATCGGTCGACTCTTTATACACGCCCTGAACGGGTACGTTTAACCTAGTCTCGGGTACGTTTAACCTAGTCTTTTATAAAGACATTTCTAATCTGATCTAGAAACAAATACTATCTACTATTCCTCAGATTCGCTCTATAAATTTGTGCCCACGCTCTACTAACATGCAACCATCAACATAAAATATGAAACAAATAATTTTTCTTTCTTTCTATTTATACAAAATGTCATGGATAATATGTTATAGTCTGGCTAGCGAAAGATGACAACATCGAGTATATAACCAGAAATAGTGATGAAATGTCATTTAATTTATTTGAAAACTATTCTGCCATATCAACAATCATTACAATTGCATATTTAATATTTAATTTCCAATGAAATTTGATTCCGTTTGTTTTGTAATTAGATGTTTTTCTGTTTTTCCCCACACCACCGAATGGAACAGCACGCCATTGTTAGAGATATTATCTTTATCAATAAATACAGAATATTTTTGAAATATACGGAGACGTACACACAGGTCAGTTGTTGACGCTGTCTATATTTCAATGCAAACGGGAGTTGATATTTATAAGTGATGTATCACTGATGAGTTACCAGGAATGTGTGGCACTTATTTCGTCTCTATTTCTGGTTATATGCTCGATGGATGAGACTGCGATTATTTTGTTTAAATCTAGCTGACAACCCCAATATTTATAAGACTGTTTGGAAGTTAGATTTTCTTATTAATAATATGACGAAGAGTATGAAAAGCGATAGACGAAAGTTTCTTTTTACTATGATTGGTGGATTTAAAGAGAGAAACAAGTGCAGTGACGAATCGTTTTCAAGAAAACTCAAGAATATTTGCGTGAATTTCCGAATTAATTGGTTAGTACGACGTAATAATTTAGACCATTTCCATGAAATTTGTAAATTTGTGTTTGCTAGTCTTTGCAACAGATAGTAATTAATTTTATTTCAGTAATTTTAATTCACATATATAAGACAGTAATTTTATTTAATACTAATACATTTATTTATAGGGAATGCGGAGTACTCCGAAAGAAAGAAAAGACCTTGCATGCCCACAGTTTACGATTTGGATACTTTTCATATGGACGCTGTTAGAGAACGGAAAAGAATTACTAAGGACATGAAAGAAATAATAGTAAGAACACAAAAAAGTGAAAACTGTTGTTCCGATACATCATTTGAGGTTAATTTTTTAGAGTCTAATTTCGATTATGATGAATATATATAAAAATACAACAAATGTGTTTATTTTTTATATGATACATATATATCTTTATAGAATTACCGAAGTAGGGAATGCAAATAAACTTGTAGAGAATTGGCCATTTAATATTTTAGGTACTCTTTATTCTTTTCTAAATTTTGTCATTACAGAGCCTTCGGGTATCGGTCTCCGCCAACACCTTCACTCGGTTGGTTCTAACGTGCCTAAATTATGAACACATACATGATTAGCAGATAAATTCGTTAAATAATTTTATTCCCATTATACTTGTACGAAAACTATTTTTTCCTTCTACACCTGTGATACCATACCCGCGTTTTTCCAGTTCTCATCTTTCGTTAGACAGACTTCATGAATGTATTACAGGGCTTATCAGATCCTCCCCATAATCTTTACTGGTTTTTTAAGATACTGAGATTTATGAATATAAGCAGGTTCGTTAACCTGATTGTTCTTCTCCAACGCCGCGAACCGGTTCCGGGCCACCCAAATGGCAGTGGTGGCGGCCCCGCGTGCAGGTTCCGCCGCGGGCGCATCGGCGCCGTCGCGTGGAGCCGCGTACAGCTCGTACGAGCTGTTGTCGCCCACGCGCCAGTTCACCAAGACACACCATTCCGCGTGGTTCAGGGACATGCTGTACACATACATACATACCCAGTAGTTAACTTTAAATGGGATACCGAGGTCAAAGAGCAGATATACTCTTTCCAAGAAAAAAAAAGAATGATAAAATCAGTTCACAAATGCCGGAGTAATCAAGTAACATACACACAAAAACAAAACAAAGAAAAATACAGTTGAGAACCTCCTCCTTTTTTAAAGTCGGTTATAAATTAGAATGTCATACAAATTACCTATAAGGTTGGTGACGACCGCCTCCCTTAATCGGCATCACGGGGGAATCGCGATTGGTCTGCATATCCAATTTACGGAGTTGTCTGAAAGGAAAATAATTTCAGAAATAAAATATTTGTTTTTTTTTTTCTTTTTAATATGTAAAGAAGCTCGATTTTTTTTATATAATTATCCGATTAAACGACGGTACGAGCAAGTCGTCGCCTGGTGGTAATCGCCTACCCATAACCCATGACGACCTATTTGGCTAGCACACCGGTTTTCAAGGTGTCACCATCCCTGAGGTTCCGGGTTCGATCCCAAACCGGGTCAGAGTAGAAAACTAACTTTTTTATATTTTCTCGGGTCTGCCTTACCGTCGTTATTTCCTACTTGCATAACACAAGTACTTTAGCTACTTACTTTGGGATCAGAGCAACGTATGTGACGTTCTCTAATATTTATATATAAGTTACAGTGCCACTCAGAGCATTAAACCGCAACACCTGAGGAGCTAGAGGCGAATTGACACGTCCCATATGCCTGTAATTGCACCAGCACCCTTACCCTTGAAACCGGAACGCAATACTGGTCACATTACGGCTTGGCGGCAAAAATAGGTGTAAAGTGGCAGTACTTCCTTGGACGAACAATTTCACAAGGTGCTCTACTACTACTGATAATACCACTAAAATATCTTATTCTGTTAACAAGTTAAGTAACCAAGGAAAGCATTAAAAATTCTTGTCCGTATTCTTAACATCCTAATATTACAGACTGCATTAATAAATATAAATTAATAATAATAATGCACACACTCAACATATACAATATAAATGGACGTAATGTTAGTGAAAAAAATGTAATTCACATAGACCGAGTTCAAATTTCACTGTTGTAATGTCATATCAGACGAATAGTTTCGTAAGTGATGATGTCGTGCACGGAAACACCCCGCAATGACGTATTTATTCATGTCCCCGTACATCCACGAATCGGACGGAATAACGTTATACGAAGAAGGAGAATCGAAGTCCACGGATATTTCGGCAGGATCAAACATAACATTATAAAAAAAATCTTTTGTTTACTAAACATATACTAAACTAGAGAATCCTAACATACCTGTCTTTGATATAGAAGAGGATGTTATTATGCACGGCATAGGCAGGCCTTTCGCGCTGCAGCTTGAATAGTATCATCCCAGCGTCATGCCCAGCGGCGAACAGGTTAAGAGTTGGGTGGGACGCTAGTACCCAATATCTGAAATAGTCAAGTAGTTAACACGTTATTACCGTTCGGCGATGGGCAAGTACCACAAAGTAGACTGTCTGACGCTTCTTCCTCCAAAAAACTTTCTAGTATATGACTTTTCTTCACAAAAGGTAATAAAAGATAAGCATGCTAAATTGTCAAAGTAATCATTCATGTTTTTAATTAGCTATGCCGACAGGATGAGTCAAATTTTTATCTTTACAAGGAATATCGTTGTTAACTTGTCAAATTAAAATGCCAGAATTAGCGAGCGTGCCAACAGCTCCGGTACCTTTTAGGATAATGTGGTCGCTCACCGAAGGCACTAGCCTTTTGAGCACCGGAAGAAGTCTGTGTAAATTGGCTGATCTGGGGTCAGGACCAGACCGAATAAGGTCCCTGTACGGGCTTGCTTGCACAGGTAATATCGCCCTTCACGTATAACCAAGATGTTGATAAGGAGGGACACTGTAAACAAAACTTAAGTAGAAAGATATGGGACTGACCTCTCATGTTCCCTTCTGTAAGTGTGAAGGCAGGTTCGCTTAGTCATGTCCCAGACGCGGATCGATTTGTCCTCGCTATTGGAAAGAATGAGCTCGTGCTTGGCTTGGAACAAAACGCAGGATACGTTATTGTAGTGGCCACGGCACGTATCTACTTCCCATGCCTGCAAAGAAATAATAACATTTAAAGTCGTCACCAAATAAGAGGCCAAATTTGACACTTGTCATCGTAACGCGAATAGGGATGTGGACTAATCATATAGGTAATCACATTATACTATTTTCACGAGAAATCGATTCAAAATTTCAAGAGTTTGTGATTGTTTAGATTATTTTTCGGTTCATACTTATTCTTGTTCAGGGGGCCTAAAAGGCCAAATCATGCAATTCAGTTAAAAGCAATTCATTTACAGAATTCCTTGCAATTCTCTAGCAATTCCTCTTATTTTCGTAAAATTGTCCCACATTCCGATGAACTGTATCTAATTCCTTTGATTTTAATTTTATAATATTCATAAATGGTAAATTACGAGAATTTAGTGTAAATAAATATGTTCATCAATAAAACAATCAATATTTTTTCCAAGAAATCTGAGTAACTCGGCGAAATTCGGCCATGAATTGCTTACAACACTATTATTTAAGAAAAAATATCTTGAGGACGTTGCTATATAATATAATAGTTTCCCTATATCATTCTCAACGCTACACATAACTCACGTTGTTTGTCTCAAATAACTTACCTATTTATTTCTTCACACTGTTTTTACAAAAGTCTATTTATCTCGAAAGTGACATTTTGTGGGTTGGTTCTAGTGTGTGAACTATGTCCATATAAATTAAATACTATACAACTGCACAAAATAACCTTTTAAATGATAACTATGATAACATAATGTATTTGTTTAGTGAAAATATGATACAAAATCCTGTTTTTACACTTTGCTGCAGTAATTTTTACAAGTTATTATTATATAGTACTGCATAATTGACAACCGCGCCTTCAATCGAACAAACGAAGACTGTTGCGCGATTGACGCTCTGTATACGATTTTAACGCCGTGCGGTTAATTGGTTGACACATTGATCAGTTCAACTCGATTGTGGTAATATGTAAGTACTTAAATGCAGTTTTATTGCAATTGTATGAAAGCGTAATTGTAGAGCCTTATTTTATTTAGGTTCTATTATCACCACATAGTTACTTAACTTGGGCTTTTTTTCTTTTGTTTACTTGACTTGGCCTGCAACTACAGAATATCACATAGAGGATATTTAAAATTAATATGCCACCTTAGCATCGTTCATTCTCCACAGCTTGACTTGGCGATCGTCGGCAGCGGAAACGACAAGCGGTAGCGTGGGATGGAACGACGCCCAGTTGACTCCGCGGTCGTGACCTTCCAGCACATGCTTCACCACCGCGTCAGCCTGTGACAACAATAACAATAATTCGGTATTACTAAACTGGCACGGAACATCAGCAAGTGTAGTCATTATTAAAATTATAAGTTCATACTGGATCAATGAAACATTATCCATATGGATCCCTGTCTTCCCAAAAGCAGATAAGAGCCCGATTCGTACTGAGACTTGATACCATAATAACAATGTGACAGATACTTAATACCAAGTCCAAGTAATTCCTTACAAAAAGTAGAATATTGCGAATTTTACCCAAAACCATGTAAATCAATGCCCAGATCATAATTGAGGCTATCAGAGCAAAACTGGTGTAACTCACATATGTTTTTTTTTTGTAGAGTGTTACTTTAATGCTATGAAAGTATATAATTACTTTATATTTAGATGCTATTTTCATGTATAAAAAACATTTGATTATTATTTTTTTATACATGAAAATAGCATCCAAATATTAAATAATCATGTACTTTAGTATCGTTTACAGAAATATTTTTTTTTAAATTAAGTGGGTTACACCACTACTGCGCTAATGGGTCATTCTATAAATTCTACGGAACTTTTGCCAAAGGAGAGTCGATAGAAAAGGCGTAATAGCCACAATTTGTTTTGAAAAGTTCGTTTCCAAAACTGCTCCCAAAACACCCACCACTGGTGACCAACTATTATTATACAACTACAAAAACTGACGCGATTTTAGGCTAGGCGAAAACACGCTTAGCACGCTAGAAAACATTGCGCTCGGCGTATGCATCGTATTTTTGCGATAGTCACCGGAATTGCTCATATGAGTCGTACATAATTGTGACTGTTCGTAAATTAAGTGGATGTGCTTAATGTGAAAGTCTCTCACATGAAAAACGTGTGTATAACAAAATTTTGTAATGGAAATTGCAAAATATAATCGCGTCAATTTGACCACAATCATGACCATTTATTTACCACTAAAACATGCAAAAGACATAAACAAAAACTATAAAATTCACGGTTATCTATAAAAGCAACATAAATACATTGCTACCACCAAAAATCAAATAAATTGGAAAGGAAAAAACACATCACGAAATTCGCTTCTTCATATTATTATTATAGTCCGTCCTTATAAGGAAATGTATTCAAAAAACAAAATATCTTCATGTGTATAACAGAAATAGATATAATGAATAATGTGTAGCTTATCATTATTAAAACCATCCCTTGTAATTTTAACGCAGAAAAATGAAATAACGAATGAAATACCAATCCTACATTAAATAAAGAATATGGAATAGAGGACTACATGAAATGAAAATAAGGGAAGACTGGACTACTCCTATCATCTATTTGAATCAAATACCTAAAGCATACTATCACTTAGATCAATAAGCCCATAATATAATCAATAAAACCTTTACTACAAAGAACCGTGGGTGCTGTAAAAAAAGATAAAACTAACCTCAACAATTTTTACCGTGCAGATACATTTAAAAACGCATTTACGACACATACTTCGACATTCGCAAGGGTTACTTACAGTTTTTTCCTAACAACAAAAATGTTATTCATTAATTCATAATAAAACGATGTAACTAAATATTGTTATGAATACACAGTTACCTGTCCAAATAAGTCTGTGGCTTGTGGGTTTCTTAGATGTTCCGCTAAGCCTGTAGGTCCAGGTGCCACACTCTTCTTTCTTAACCCAGAGAAGTCCCAAACACGGACAGATTGGTCGAGTGAAGCGGAGACCAGCAGATCTTCAGTTGGATGGAACTGGGCACACATTACGTAATGATTGTGCCCGGTGAGCACGCTGATGCATTGGCGGGATTGCCAATTCCATATTCTTATTGTCTGTTAAACAGAAAGATATGCAATTTATTTTTTATGATAATCATGGTCATACAATGGGCAGCATATTTGCAAAAGTCTGCATATAAGAATGTTGCAGCATTGGGGAATCTGTATGGTGTTAGAGAATCTGTGTATTACCTTCAGACTTCTTACACATGACTTTATTTGTAATGAAATATGGTAGGTTTGTTTAATATTGCGAAGTGGTGCCTCGGTCTTATTTTAAAGAACCTATTTCTTTGTTGTTTTTGTGGTATTTGCCTCAAGTAGAGGCATTTCGGAGAGTTAATTGTTTAATAATTTACCTGATCATCAGACGCACTCAAAATCCAAGGGTACTCATGGTGGAAGAATGTAGTACGGATGTAGTCCAAGTGGCCCAGCAGTGTGAACAGGCAGCGCCGTTGCTTGTAGTTCCACACCTGAATGTTTAATTTAGTTTTGTTAATGAAAATAAAGAACAGAATAACTTAGTATGAAACCAATTTGTTCTAAATGAGTCTAACCGCAATCATACAACTACGTTCGTAGTTCGCTTTATAAAATGACCTTCAAATGGAGCACTGTTCTCATAGTTGGCCGGACCTTTTGATCACAACTATCAATGGTATGTCAATACAGATTGATGCTGTTTGTTGTATTAGTGAGTGCCATAACTAAAACATCGTAATGTAGAACTAATACTTAAAATATGTACATAATTATATGGGACATTATATGAATGAATATTTAAATGAAAGGTACATTCCAAAATTTTATATAATTGGTAATTTAAATATTTTAATAAATATTTTATCTTTTTAATGAACATTTTCAAGTTCATTTAACAATAATTCTCAAAAGAGAAAAAATTAAACTTTTTTTTTATAATTACTTTTTTTATAAAAAAAGCTGACCACTAGTTGCCCATTTTCACTGTGTTTGTTACGTCTATTTGCCAAGTTTTATTGCAATCAGTTACATATTTTCTTTTCTTTTAAGTCTTTTTTAGGGAAAAGAATTTTGACATAGTCAATTTTTGGTCAAGCGTGAGTTGTCCAAAAAAGTGAATAAAATTAATCAGTTTTTTTTGCTGATTGACTCAGTTTCATGAAGGGATCATTTCATTGTATAGGATGAAAAAAATTGAGACAGCAGATGTTTGTCAAATTTAATAATTTTTTATACAAAATCAATAAAATTTACTAATACTTTTTAATGCTAGTAGACTCAGTTTCTTATAATAATGTTTTTATTGTATTGGAAGAAAAGGATCAGGACAGCAGAAGCTGGTCAAATTTAATAAAATGTTGTACATTTTGTATGATTTTTTTTATTAAATTTGACTAACTTCCTCTGTCCAATTATTTTTCTGCCCAGTACAATAAAAATATCCTTATAAGAAACTGAGTCTATTAGCACCAATAAAATTAGTAAAAAAAATTAACAGGATTTGACAACCTTCTGCTGTTCCGATTTTGTTCGTCCCATACATGATATGATGCCTTCATTGACACGGACTCGATCACCGCTAAAAAGAATTTTTATCAAATTTATTCATTTTTATAGAGAAGTTACACTTGACCATGAAATTGACTATGCCAAAATTAATTTCACAAAAAAGACTTAATGGTTCCTAAGAAAGTTTCCTCATATCGTCTATGGTTTTGGATTTGCCCACATTTAAAAAACACTCGGTATATATTGATTTTGAATAAATGTTGACATATACAGCACAAACTAACACTTAAAGCTATTGTTACGCCCATTGTACATTATGTATATAATTTCTGATTGCAAATTAAATAACAGAAAGGACACTTCCAGTAAGTATAACAAAAAAATCCGTGATAAACAAAATATATTGTGAATATGTACTACTAAACATACAATAAATGGTCTTTCAATCAATTGTTAGCCTTTTATAACTGCGATGAAGAGAATACGTGGAAAACATGACGACATTGTAACTACCAACAAGTGTTATGAAAATAGGAAAAACAATCTTGCCTTAATCTTATAGTCATCGCCACCCGACACGAAGAGGGGTTGTTGGCAGTGGAAGCAAATGCCACGTACAGGACCATCGTGTTCATCAAATTTCTCCAATAAAGTGCACATACGGTAATCCCACAGTTGAATCACGCCATTGTGCAAACTAGCCAAAATCCATGGTCGCTTAGCATGAAAGGATATCCCTTTGACCCTGGCTGACTTAGTTTCAAATTTAGTCAGCATTTCGACCGGCTCCTGTGGAGTTACAAAGGATAAATTCACTTCCACAAAACCGTACATACACACAATTTGCCTAACGTCAATCAACCGGCTGACGTGCGTGCGGGACACGTCGAACTAGAGACGTATTCGATTGATCAACAGAATATCACCATAAAGTAAGATAAACACTATCTTCTAAGTAAAATATCGTGTTAAGATTTTAAAAATAAATTCATTCTTTAGTATGAGAGTCACGTTCAAGTTTTATTTTTTGTATCAAAATCCTGTCGATATTGTGTTTTTGTTTATCATAAGCATTTGAAATTTTTATAATTTTTAGAATTTACATCTATATAGATGACATCTCTAGTATTTAAAAAAAAAAGAATAATTATTAGTTTCTCTGTGGTTTCTTTAGGTTCAGTAAACGTAAACAAAGTGAATTTTCTATTTTGTCGCTTTTCTTTGTTTTAGTCTAATTCAAGTTAAAGCAATAAGCGAATTGGGTAAAACTGTATTTTTAGAACAAAAGATCTACGTATATATTCTAACAATTGTGAAGATTTACGAAATAACCTCAAAATCACACACTATGACTCCCGATTTTAGAGAAAAGCTAAAAGATATTGGTAAAATATGCATTCCTGGCATGCGTTTGAGTGAATCAAACAAGGATTTCGTCTCTGGACCAGGAACGTATGAGTTGAAAGGTTATATTTATGCTTCTTTGGCTGGTGTCTTGAAGATGGAAGAAGATGAAGATTCCAAGGTTTGCCTCCTTTAAATTATTTGGGAATGGACGGAAAGTATGTTCAAATACTTTTTTTCCACATTCCGTTGATGAAATTAAGCTTAAATAGACAAACACCTTAAAATCACCTAACACCTAAAAATGTAATTTTTATTAATAGATTTTAAAATTAAGCATCACAATCTTCAAATATCATCCTTGTTTTGTGTAATGTTTACTATAAACTAAAGAAGAGAATTTTTACTTGGTAAGGTTACATCCCTCTGAGGCATGTGGAGATTTACCATTACCATACTAGTGGACCACTAGAGGCAACATTAAAAACCTTCACTCTTTCATACAAAAGTTGTCCATCTGCAAATAAGTATACCTACAAATCATTCATTATTCTAAATGAGAGTAAATTGTATCTGCCTTTTTGAATTTATTCTATTCTATTTCCATTTCTGATTCTTGTTTCCCTAGTTCCCTAAAAAAGAAATTTGATCATTTAATTATTTTTTTTTTATTTATTTACTTATTGAACATCAGTATAAACAAATAACAAAATAATTACGCAACTCAAAACGTAATAATACTTATATTTGAACATTAATTGACAAGAAAATGTCTTCAATTTTAGTATAAAAAAATAAGAATAATGTTGTTGGTTCAAACAATATCCGTGAACCCTCAAAAAATTAATAATAGGAAGAGGAAAATGTCCATTGCTTCACTTTTTCAGGCAACAATAATATCAGTTGATGGACTAAGGACACCCAGCATTCTGCCAAAGACAGGAGACATAGTCACAGCCAAAGTAATGACAGTAAATCCACGCCAAGTGACCTGCAACATCCTCTGTGTTGGCCCATCAGTGCTTGCCAGACCTTATAAGGGTATTCTAAAGAAGGAGGATATTAAACCGACAGATAGAGACAGGATAGATCCTTATAAATGCTTTCGACCTGGTGATATTATTCTGGCTAGAGTTGTATCCTTTTCACATTTGTACATCATATAATATACTTTACTTTTTTTCTATTTTACAGTTTGAAATTGTATGAGACCAAAAATATGCTATAATCAAATAATTTTTTTATACTTAATATCTGGGGGTCTACTCTCGATCTCCGTCTGAAACAATTACTGTCAAGTAAATAATATTCGACAAAATTCAAAGACAAGTATCCAGTATGAAGCTTCATTCGCATCACGCGTCTTTTCATTTGGTCAAGTATTGCTTATTTGGCAGTAATTGTTTCGAACGGATGTCGGACGGAGATCGAGAGTAGACCCCCTGATCAGATTGTGTAGCAAACTGGGGAATTGTTTATCTTAATTTTTAGGGATTTTATGGCTTGGGCGAATATCGGCTACTTAACATACATAAATTTGCGAATTAACTTCATAAGTCTAGCAGCACTGACAACAAGCACATAGAAAAAATTCGCGAGGTCCGCTGGTTCGTTCCGTGGCTTCGTTGATATAGCGTCTGGCACGGTTACTAGAAGACGTCGGTTCGAATCCGGCCGGATCGAAAAAAAATTTTCTAAGTATTCGATCTTTGTATTAATAATTTATAACAAACTAGTGGAGTAATTTCACAAAAAATAATAGAATATCAATTCAAAAAAAATTTAAAAGCAAATCCTGTACACCATATTTGAATATGCATGAAAATTTAATTATCAAGAATGCTTTACTGACAGAGCACACTGAAAGAACAATGTTCAAATTCTATACAGTCCTGGAGAAGCTAAAAAAAGTTGACGACCATCAATCGCAGATACAGGGTTCCATTAGTATTTCAATATAGTTTCTAATTATTATACTGGATTTCCATTTGATAACTGGGGAAAGTTTATTTAAGGAACATTTTCTTTTTGAGGTTATGTTAATGCATGTAAATGTGAACAATAATAATATATGTTAATTTGTAGTACAGAGTTAAATGTTATTCTAAAGTAAGTATAGTCGGGTACACATTAAAAGTAATACTTAGATTTACTACAACAGACGAACAAGATAAAAATGGTTCAAAAGCGATACGATTTTAAAAAACACTTTAAAAAAAAATTAGTTCTAATTATATAAATAATGCGATGTTAGCATTTAAGTTTATTTGTGAACGCACACACAACTTTTTTTTTAATATATTTTCATCCATTTGTCACATTGCACAAGGAATCATAAGAGTAAACGAGGCTTAAAATAAAATTAAAATGTCAGTCGTGTTACGTTAAAAACAAATTTTAACAATATCTTTTTACGTATTAAAAAATCGTATCATATTTTCTCCTGCTTATTTCAAAGTTTTATGAATTTATAATTTATTTTATAACGTATAATTTATATTGCTGGATATACATTTTTAACTGGTCGCGTCTAAAAAAAACGAGTCCAAAATGGGCACTGTTCTTTATTGTGACTGAAAGGCAGTGTTACCAATTTGTGGGTAATTCCCCAAATTGTGTGAACTTTCAAAGAATTTCCAGACGACTGGGGATTGGGGCTATCGGGGGAAAATGTGGGGATTCTAATATTTTATCATTTTGTTTAATCTATTTGATTACTGATGCATCGCTAGTTGGACAGTAACTGATAAAAACATTATTATGATCGATATCGATATTTTTTTCAACATCACACAACCCTCGCATTATTAGCAAGCCGCTTGTATAGAATTATTATCAGAGCACTTGGTTCTGAATTGTTAAATTATCAGTTGGTGTGTGTTGAGTTCGCGATCCTTTCCCCCGCATAGGCTGCAATTAAGCCGTTTCGTTCCCTTCTTTTTTCGCCCCTTATTTTTTTACAAACGTAACTTACTTTATTACTTGTAGGCCTCGCATTTAAAACGACTTTTTCTTAATGAGGTTAACATGGATGGATCAGCTTGATTTTAATTACCTCTCCTGATCGGAAACTGGGCGTCTACTCTCGATCTCCGTCTGACATCCGTCCGAAACAATTAGTAGAGTAGACCCCCTGCGTCTTTTCCGAGTCGAGGCGTATAATATTGCGGTTATCTACCCGATCGGATCGATTCCGATTTGAATTAAAATAAGAGCCAAGATCATGGTGAAAATGAAAGAGAAAAAAATCAATAAAATAAAGTGATCTTAAAGCGACTAGTTCTTGGAAATGAAATTTTTAAATGACTAAATATTAAAATGATCATAAATAATTTTTAGGAGGATACATGTAGCTGAATGTTTCATCATTATTTTCTAGGGCTAACAAGGCTGTGAAAATGTCACTTCTACAAAATTCATTGTGCGTTTTTCAAAAAAGTTCAAGTTTTGTGTTGAATCACTTTCATTGTATAGATGCGAATTGTTGCATACAATCGGAATCCACCTTTTTTTATACATGACAGGCAAATGACTCCACTCCACCTGATGTTAAGTGGTAACTTTTAAAAAACCTTATAGTCAGCTCACTATAGGATGAAGACTATTGACCAATTATTGAGTATTCACTATACATGAAACCGGATAGTTTTCCTTATACCAGTATCCAGCTACCAATGACAGAAATTCACTGGTACCACATATCAACAGCAGAAAATGAACTAGGAGTTGTAATAGCTACTGCTGAAGGTTCGCCCCAAGGAGTCACCATGGTACCAATAAACTGGTCAGAAATGCAATGCCCCAAGAGCCTCGTAAAGGAACCCAGAAAGGTTGCCAGAGTTATACCAGAAAATATTAATCAGGATATTTTCCCTGCAGTTGATAACAAAGATAAAAAGAAATAGTGTTCGTTAGGAAATAAATGGTATTTTAGTAAAATTGTTGTTTCACTTACAATCCAAGACTGAAAAATTAATTTACCAATTGAAAAAAGTATTCGATAGCTTTTGCCATGATGACGAGGCGATGTATTCATGTATGTCTGTGACCTGCACTGTTTTGTGTGGCGTGTCGATACTAGAAACTACTTTTGGCGATGTTTTGTAGGCGATACAACCAGTAAAGGGAATGGACGTTACAAATCGTATATAATTATTGAAACTATATATTGTGTGTGAATATCCGATATCGTGTATCTTAGAAACTATATATCGATATTGCTCTGCATCGCGTATTTTATAGCGATGCCGAATCAAGCTGAGCGATTACCGAGTGGATACCAATACGAAATCATATATTTTCCTAACTAACTATATACCGATATTGCTTCATATCAGATATTCACTGAGTGGATATCAACGCGAAACCATTTTTTTGTGCGTCTTCGAAACTGTATACTAACATTGGCCCGCATTGCTCTTGTAAAACTATATCCAATAATATATAGTTTCGAAATCTTATTTCGAATATCAGTAATGTATCAACGCAGCGCGCACCCGGCCTGTATCCATGAATATATAGTTTCAGAAAATATATAGTTTCGAAATCCGAGTTCGAATATTGATGTATAGTTTCGATATGATATTCAGAAAAAACTATATTACCCATTCCTACAGTAAAGTAAAAAGTAGTTTATTTTGGATGTCCGAATTATTAAAAAAAATGTTTTAATTTATAAACAGTGTTGCCAACTAGACTTTTTTTTTAATATAATAACGCACACACTCAACATAGCCCCGCACTAGGGAAACCCTGTGTCGCGGGTGCCATGGACACACACATAGACAACCACAAATTACACCCAAACTCACGAGAGAAATAAATGTAGGCCATACAAATATTTCTCCCGGCCCGGGAATCGAACCCGGGGACCTCTGCGTGGCAGTCAGACTAAAGCAAATGTCGCTAGCCAGAAGGCTTGAAAGTCGCAAAAACTATAATTCCACTCGATATGAAAAAATCTACTCTTATGTTACTCACCACAAGGTTTATTTCATTGGCAAGAACCTTATGGTCATAGCACAGATAAAAGATGGCCCATATTTTTCAACTGAACTCTTGATTACAGTGCATCTTTCCGTCAACCTCTTGATTAGTTCTTAGAGGACGGAAAAAAAATAATCTAACGAGTAGTTAGACGGGAACCTGGGCAAGCAAGCTCGCACAGGGAAGTTAAAAGTTCAGACCCTGGGGCCTTACCACGAATTCTTATTAAGATTCAGTTCAGGACCTAAAATGAATCATTGTGAGATAGCGCTACATGACGTGTATATCACCATCCCGCTTTTTTGTCGTTACGAACCTATATTGAACTGTAATAAGAGTTCATGGTAAGGCCCCAGAACCCAGTGAAGCCCGTTCATGGTTGTCACAGAAAGTTATCACGGACTTCATCCGGTGCTCAAAGGGCTAGCGCCTTGGGTGAGCGACCCCGAGGCTGCGGGCACGCCGACTTTTCGTTCTGCATTGCACAACTAACGGTTGCCACCGCTTAAATTCAACTACCAACTCTCCTCCCTGACGACGGAGCTATAGGTGTAGGTAGGCAACTGTTACTTCCCGACACCGAAATCTCTCCACTTCCCATTACTTTCTACGCAACTGAATAGACTGGAGGATATCTAACTTATTCTCTACTAGTTATCCGGACTAGCAACGGAGATGTCAGCCGCAGTGTCCTGCGACAATGTCCGGACGTAGTTTCCAACTCAAAGACCAATATAATCCCACCATTGAGTAGTATAAATAAGTTAAGATGAAATCATATTAAATGGACGAAACCTAACTAATTAAAAAGGCACCAAAAAGTCCCTAAATTTTTGTTGTCGCTAAATAGCTTAGACTATTAAATCTTAGGGTCGTATTCCAGAATTCTACTCAATGCTCAAGTCAGGACTTGAGCAGATTTGAGTATGATTTCAAACACTGGAAATACGACCCTAATGACAAGGACTTGAGTATGATATTCAGTGCTCACTGCAATACTCAAGTTCTCACTTGAGCATTGAGTACAGTTCTGGAATACGACCCTAAGACTTCCTTTATGCCAAAACGTCGCTTAATCTAGCGACAAAGTCGCTAAGTTGGCAACACTGTTTATAAACGATAGTCTTAAATTTTTAGAGGAAAACAAATACGTCAATGTATGACAACGTACGTTCCAGTAGTCCATTTTCTTAACGACAACAGTTGCTATCTCTTTTGCCTTTCTGTGACATGCATGTAACTTTTCTCTTTTTAAATGCTCTTGACCTACCTACATTACATACGTCAAGACTATGAGAACACTTTGTAATTTGTCACCTGAGGTTGTCCTGTTGAAAATATTTTTTATTTGTATGTACTTTGTACAAAATTCAATAGGGATAAATCCGTTAATCCTTTTCTAGTTAATTTGTTATCATTCCAATATTTTGTTAGGCATTAGTTGTGTATAATGAGGTCACTATGGCAATTTATCGTTAAGTAAATTTGTATGTACCATAGTTGGTAGTCGAAGAAGTTTCAAGTGCAATTTAGTGTTTTACAAAGATTCTTGTGATAAGGTTGTGCTTGTAGCTGCCTCAAGATGAAGTTCGCGGAGCATTTAAGTGCGCATATAACGCCTGAATGGCGAAAACAATATATAAATTATGAGGTAAAATTATTTTTACAATTTTCATAAAACCCATCGAGTTTTATCTTATTGTCTCATTAGACTATCAGAAAAACCCCGCTAATAATTTGCATGTAAATACGTACACACGTATGGTGATTGTCTCTTAAATTATGTGTTTGATCTCAAGTTTTCATTCCTTCATTCATTTTATCTTTTCTTTACCTACCTGCTAGACAATAAATAAAACATAAGTATGATTTCATGAGTAGTCTGTGATCACATAAATGAAACAATGCACTCATTATTATATGCATTTATGTGAAAAAGCCATAATAATACATATTTAACAAATTGGCCATATGAATGATTTTACTATTGTTATGTTATTGCATTGTGAATGCTTGTCAAAAGAAACTGAAGCAACAATAAAATATAAACTGGCTGTCTGTAGTATCCTATACTTGTCTTGTTTTTTCTTATGTTCTGTTTGTTGTATTAAATGGAAGTATATACAAATTACGTTTTAAATTGGAAATTAATTTTTGGGATTCTTGGGACTTCTCAGAGAAAAGTTTAAGAGGACCGGTATCATGACTGTGGCATCACAGTACATTTATTTACTCAAATATTTTGTATGCCTGTAAAAATATACCTAATTTCATTAAGAAAGATATCTATAACATTAATCTTTGATCTAAGTCCAAATTCAGGGTACCTACCACAATTTCGTTTAACAAAGGTAAACATTCCTTTTATGGGGAACTGTATTTGTTTTTACAATACGATTCTGGAGCATGTATTAAGATTGCCATTTCCTAAGTTTAAAACTTACATTAAAAGTATTTTAATTGAAAAGTCATATTACAAAATTGTTGGCTACAAGTTAGATAAAGATGTATGGAAAGACAACATGAGTCTAGATTCCACACAAATACCAATATGTATTCTACAGCATTTAAGTTTATTTGAAAAGAGCAATCCCTAGAGTTTCTTGCTTGTTGTTTTCAAGCCTTTACTTGTTTTCAAGTGTAAAAATTTTACCTATGGAATAAATAATTATTTGACTTTGACTAATGTGCCAACACACATACACACTCACACAAATCATAGCCCCACACTAGAGAAACCCTGTATCGCGGGTGCCATGGACATACACATAGACAACCACAAATTACACGAGAAAAATAAATGTAGGCCATTTAGAAAAGTTCATTTCCCAAATTGGTCCTATTGTGAATCTAACCCATAACCTTCACATCTAACACGCATATTACAAACTGTTGGGCCACGAAGGAAGATGCCAAAATTACATGGACTTGTTAACTTATGTCTCAGAGTGACGGAAACAGTGGCAGTGCCCCTCATATTTTTGCGATTTTAAGCTCTGAATGGCACTGCAACTGTTATGGACAGGCATGTAGCTTACCATCAGGCGCACAACTTGTTTGTCCTGTCACTTGTTATTATAAAAATAAAAAACCATATACTTGTACTTGTACTAAAACAAAGCAGCATTGCTGTCTTTGTTTTTCTACTGAGAAAAACAAAGCTTTCGTTTTTCAGCTCCCTGCTACTAAGCAGGGAGCTGAAAAACGAAAGCTTTGTTTTGGTGTTGGTGGGCACAGGTACTAACCTGTGCCCACCAATGAGATGTAATGTTGATTGAAACAGGTGTATTATTTGCTCTAATTAATGTAAATTTAAAAAAATTTAATAACAATAAAAGTGTTTATGACTCAGCTACAAAGTTTATGAAGTACATTGCTTTTGCAATGAACTTCATAAACGTTCATAAACGTTCATTAATTATTGAAAACACATACACCTGTCAACGTAATTATTGACCATTTTTTGTCTTGTTTTGTTACACATTTGATTTTGTGATGCAAAAAAAGAATATATTTACTGTAAATCTTATAATACACCTGACTATAGTGCGCGCGGAACTAGCTGGCCGCGCCTTAGGTATGTGAGCGGTGGGACGGGGAGGCGGGGGCACTTGATGTCATTACTCAGAATACTCAGTTCGGCGCCGGACTTCGCGGCGGCAACACACGTTGACAGTTCTGGCTAGTTTAGACAAAACGCACAAGAGATTGCAATGTCAAGATGAGTCCGCCGATAAAAAGACAATCTAAGGAAATAATATTTAAAGTGCATACGTTTTTTAAAAAACGGAAAGCCGATGTCAATAGTTTAGAATATAAAACTGATGCGAATATTCATAAATTAGTGGCAGAAGCAACCGGGATATCAGAACGAAGTGTAAGGAGAGTGATTGCTCAAAGTAAAACATCCTTGCAAAATACAGGGGAAGCAAAATTTAGTTCTCCACGAAGGCCAAAAGAGATAAAAAAGAAAATACAAGTTGATGATTTTGATTTAGGAGTGATAAGAAGAAAAATAAATCAGTTTTATACGGTACAGAAAACAAATCCAAGTCTACGAAAACTAAATGCTGTGTTAAAAGAGGATAATATTTTAGATTGCGGATTAACTTATTTAAGAGAACTTTTGCACAAACTGGGATATTCATTTAAAAAATGTAAATCGAAGAGATCCCTTTTATTAGAGAGACCAAACATTGTTGAATGGCGAGTGAAATGTTTGAGGGCCATAAGAAAATTCAGAGAAGACAAACGAAATATATTCTTTTTGGACGAAACTTACGTTAACCAAAGTCATAATGTCCAAAAATGTTGGCAATCTTCGTCGGAGCCTGGTGTTTATGCAGATATAGGCAAAGGAAGGCGTTTAATAATAGTTCACGCTGGTAGTCGGAACGGGTTAGTTGACGATGCTCTGCTAATTTTTAAATCAGATTCAAAAACAGGAGACTATCATGGAGACATGAACTCTACAAATTTTTACAACTGGGTTGATCGAAAGTTAATACCTAAACTTCCACCTAACTCAGTCATAGTTATGGACAATGCAGCTTACCACTGTGTGCAAGTTGAGAAGAAACCGACTATGTCCTGTATGAAAATTAATATGCAGAATTGGTTGCAAAATCATAACGTGCCCTTTTCTCCCACGATGGTCAAAGCTGAACTCTTGGGCTTGATTAATACGACCCAATCAGAAAAAATATACACGATTGATGAACTTCTGAAAGGTGCAGGTCATACTGTTCTAAGACTACCTCCATATCATCCAGATCTCAACCCAATCGAGCTTGTGTGGGCAAATATAAAAAATTGCCTGGCCAGAGATCACATTAATGCTACATTGGACGAGAAAATTACAATACTAACAAGACTATTTTCTGAATTTTCTGCCGAACAATGGCAAAAATGCGACGACCACGTACAAAAAAACGAACAAGAATACTGGAATCATGATATGAGATATGATACTGTGATGGACGAATTCATTATAAACTTACAAGATGATTCTGACTCAAGTTCAGACAATTCAGAATCAAGTGATTCAGAGGATAATATGTCAGAGTAATTTCATATCTATAAATACAAAGTCGTGTTAGTTACACTAATTAATTAATAATAATTTCATAAATGATTCAAATATGTCGGAAGAATTTCATTTAATTTGTTTTTGGTTTATTTTACTTTTAATTGCAATGTACGGACAACAGCAAGTCCATCAATACATAAATGTCAAATTTATCCAATCAATTTTATACTCTATTCCCTGGACTTTAAGTTGAAAATCAATTGAGGAAATCTGACAGTTTGTGGCGGCCTGATGTGCTGCCGACTGTACATTGCAATTAATTAGATAGGTATAATATAAACTTGTAAAAGTTCAATTGGCTTTAATTTTTTCTTTTCAATAACTGAACAATTATTGTTCACGATATCTCGAGATTGGTCGTCACTGTCTAATCTCATGTGCGTTGCGAGCAGCAAGCAACCCGCCCCCTCACCCCTGTCCCTACCTAAGGCGCGGCCAGCTAGTTCCGCGCGCACTATAACAACAAGTTGGCATGTTACAAACTTATTGTACTTTGTACTGCAATATTTGTTTATACACATGATTGAAACAAACATCTACACATTTATCATTACAAAATATTTACAACCAGTTGAGACTTTTTTCCTTCCTTATAGGGAAAATCTCAATTATGTTTTGATAAATATTGTTTTTACAATTTTTTTTAAAGCAAAACTTGTAAAGCTCTTGTTCAAATTTAATATTAAAGTAATGTAGCATTTAATAGAGATATAGTTTAAGTAATTAAAATGATAACTACAAAAAAAATTATTTAACTGTCTTTTACACCACACCTTTATCTTTCTCCTTAAAAATCAAATATGAAGTATTCAATCTTAAGCAACAAATAAATAAAACCGTTAATATTATAATTAATAATTTAAAAAATGTTAGAAAATAAAGCCAGATAATATGACGACCTCAGTGGCCTAATATTTGCACTGTGGGCATTGGATGTGTGTCCCAGATTCCACCACTGATACCACCAAATTGGGCAATGAACTTTTGAAATATAAATCAGGTCTGGTCTGGGTTTTCTAGGTAGTGTCTTAGGGTGAACTTCGTTGCTCTGATACTCGTAGTCTAGAGAATTCTCTAGCTTGAGACCAGATGGGGTTGTTTGGCACAATATTATTATTTCAACATTTCAACAAAAGCATCACTGCTGTATTCCGCTGTGCAAACACAGACCAATTCCATCAAATAAACCTTCTGACTATTAGGTGTGTCAGTGTCAGTCATATCTTCATGATGATAACTTTCTGGGTTACGATAATTACGACTGCTGTACCCCACGTACGGTGGGGTCGGACTCTGCCTTCGACGCGTGGTCACGTTCAGATTACTATTTATTTATTTATTTAACTTCTTGTCGGAAAACTGACAGACAAACAATCACTTAGAAAATTAAATAAATAATCGAATTCTGATGATGAGTTCCCACATATAAAAACGGGCACACTCCGTAATCTTAAGCTTTTGGTGGCACAGCGGTTAGTACTATGAGCGCTTGATGAGGAGGTTCCCGATTTGGGCCAATTTAGGAAACAAACATTTCTAAGTTAGTTCTGGTCTCGGTATTCGGGGTATTGCCCTCAGAGTTATCGTTATTCTGGAATTCATAGTACAGGAAATTCCCTAATTTGAGACCAGAAATTTGGTGTGATTGTCTGGCATTTTTCCCCCTAAATACTTCTCTTTGGCATAGCTTCCAAGAAAAATAATCTAACTCATTATAATCTAACAAATTTCACTACATCGGGAAGTATGCCTAACATTTTTAACAATTGTGAGATCTTGTACTCGCAATGGAGACTCCGTATGCTACCTACGTACGCTGGCGCGCGGACGCTTTGGGCTTCGTCCTCCGCTGGACCTCGGCCTGCAGCCTCGGTACTTTAAACAAAAATTAAATAGCTCTTTAATGATGGCCATATTTAAAAATTGGAAAAATATATTTTGACCACAAATTATTATCAGACAATCTTAGATCTAAATCTTTTCGTGCCAATTTTCAGCCCGAGTAAAGCAAGTTTTTCAACAGCCATTTACATAAAAAAAAGAACACGAATGACATCGAAAAACAGCTGAAACTAAATTTTTACCTGAAATTATAACACCACAGATTATTATCAAACACCCATAAAGTCCCCATATGCCGATTTTCAGTCGGAGTAAGATAATTTTTTTATCTGCCGCCAAAAAACACTTATATGACGGCCATGTTGAAAAATGGCGAAATATAAATTTTCACTGTAAATTATTGTGAAACACCGGTAGAGACCCATGCCGATTTTCAGTCGGGTTAGAGCAAATTTTTATTTGCCACTAATGAACGCTTGTATGGCGGGCATTTTTGAAAATGACGAAAATCCAATTCTGGTCATAAATTTTTATCAGGCACTTCTAAAGGCCTCCACATGCCAATTTGCAGCTGAATCAAAGCAAGTCTTTTTCGGAAGCCATTTTTAACGAAAATTTGAATGCTTGTATGGCAGCCACATTATAAAATGGCGAAAAAAACTTTTAACCCCTATTTATGATTAAGGACTCCCAAAGAGCTCCACATGCCAATTTTCAGCCGGATCTAAGCACATTTTTCTTCGACCGTCATTTTAAGAATTCGCCAAGTATGAATTTTTTTGACACAGGCAGTTGACCACTGTTACCCTCTATGACATCCCTTCGAGCACCTCTTATATTATGTGTATATAATTATATTATGTAGTTAATAGTTGCTTACTGTCGCCATTTTTTGTTGCAAACCGGACCGGAATCCAAATGGAAATTATTAATTTTTGTATGTTTTTTACACTTTAACATAAAATGCTATCTAAATGAAAAAATCTATAAATCATAAATGTGTTAAGAAGTTTTTAAACTGGTATAACTTTGGTGAAAATGCTCAATCATTAACTAATTTATTATTATTTAATAGCAGTAGCCTTGGCTTTTTTCCTCTTTGCGTTGTTTCACTAACTTCTAATCTCAATCACTGCATGGTTGGAACCCTACAGTGTATTTTTTTACTTCAGACTAGTGCTACCAACAGCCTTAAACAGACATTTTTTGGCGGTGCGCTAACTAGCTATTAATGTTTTAGGATTTGATAAAAACAAGAAATATATTGCACTATAATCTGATATAACAGAAGTAGTAGAACTCCTTGTGAAATAGTTCGTCCAGGGTAGTACTACCACCTTACCAATTTCTGCCGCCAAGCAGTAATGTGAGCATTACTCGCTTTCAGTTTTGAAGGGTATAAATGCTGGTGAAATTACAGGCACATGGGACTTATCAACATGTCTCAGGGTGACAGGCGCAGTGGCAGTGCCCCTCAGATCTTAACGGTTTAAAACACTGAGTGGCACTGCAACTGTCATGGATAGGCGAGTCTTTTATCACCTGGTGACAGCTAGACTTGTTCGTCACTTGATACCATGAAAAATCTATCTATAATAGTCTTGAAGGGTAAGGGTGCTAGTGAATTTACTGTTACATGGGACTTGTTTGCTTATGTCTCAGGGTGACAGGCGCAGTGGCAGTGCCCCTACATCTTTACGGTTCAAAGCTCTTTTGTGCCACTGCAGCTGCTATGGACAGGCGTTTCGCTTACCACCAACCGCACGTCTTAAAATATATTTAAATTTAATAAATCATAGACTATAATACTGTCCTTTACTTTATTAAAGCAATTCTGTATTTAATAGAGTTTCGTTATAATAGAGATCCCGTACTTGTTAGAGCATTAAATATAATGGTTGTTTGTGGAATTGGACATTAGTATTTATGACCTATTTTATTTAAATATGTTTTTTTTGTAACAGGAGATGAAAGCCATGCTATATACTACAGTAGAAGAAGCTCCATCAGCAGAGAATGTGGAGCCAGAGATATTGTCAAGACACTTTGCTAACTTTGACGAAACCTTCTTCCTTTATTGCGACCAAGAGCTGAAAAAAATTAATACTTTTTACTCAGGTGAGCAACGGTTTCCAGCGAATACGCTTGAAAAAAAACAACGTAATACAAAACCCTTTAAAATTATTGTGGCTGCATTATTGGAGTCTTTGTTGAATGTATTGTAGTGATGATATTCGTAGTAGGGCTCCATAAGGAGATCACATACCTAGCAAGATCTCTGTTATTTATTATGTCGCTCTCGCTCAAGTCGCGCCCTGTCGTGCTAGCCCTAGAGGTCTTCTTGCAGATATGAAGTACATTAGATGTAAATCCCGTACACAAGCAAGTATTATGTGTATTTAAGCACATAACCTCTTTTAAAAAAAGGGGGTTTTAAAGATATTATTAGGGTACAGTCATGAGCACGCCAAGCTTGACACTTTGGACTTTGGACCGTTTTTATCGTAAGCGGCATAGAATTGAATTTTAGTTTTAAGTGTCAAGTTTGACGTGCTTTTGACCCTGTACAGTATTTTGGATAAAGTTTTTAAATTATAAATTGTCATTTTGATGTATTAATCATTTTAACGATTTCGTTGAAGCAACGGTTTGCACCGTGAGTACTAGATGAGAGGGTCCCGGGTTCGATTCCTAGTGGGACCAATTTGGAAATGAAGTATTTTAAATTGCTTCTGGTTTGGGTGTTCTGGGTAGTGACTTGCATTGAATTTCGTTGCTCTGGTACTCATGGTACGGGGAATACCATAGTATGGCGCCAGGTAATTGGAGCAGCTGTTTAAAAAAAGCGTAGTTAAAAATAGTACAGCTTAAATATTGTACAGTTGTAGTTTTAGGTATAACTTTTGATGCTAAGATTATTAATACAAACATCGAACACTGAAACATTTCTTCGACCCGATGAGACTTTAAACCCTGACCACGCTGTATCGAGGCGCCGCTCTAACCAACTGAGCTATTTTTTTTAATTATTTTTTTATTTATTCATTTGCATTGTTAGACACTTTACATTTAAAATGTTACGTGCACCCAATAAGGGTATTATAACAAACGATAAGTCTTATAAACTAAAATTAAAATTAATAATACAATTTTAATACAAGAATTAAAATTAGTAATACAATTTGAATACAAGTTAATAATAACAATAATAATAACGCACACTCAACAACAGCGAAACCTTGTCTCGCGGGTGCCATGGACACATACATAGACAACCACAAATTACACCCAAACTCACGAGAGAAATAAATGTAGGCCGTACAAATATTTCTATCGGCCCGGGAATCGAACCTGGGACCTCTGCGTGGCAGTCCGGCATGGTACCCATTCGGCCACAGAGGCAGTTAAAATAATAATTACCATATAAATAATAGCTACCATAATGGAGACATTTTACAAAAATAATCTCAATAATACTTTTGATGCTAAATTATAATAGGCTCCTAAATAGCTAAATTGTCGCAACAGCTTAGTTCTGCGATTCAGAAATCGCTACAGTGTTTTATTTCATTATGGGAAATGCTGTCGATGGTATTTATAACGCACGGAATACCCTAGTTTGAGGCCAGGTAATTACATGTATAATTCTCTAATTCTTTTTTATTTGAATAGAAAAACTAGCTGAAGCAACTCGCAAATACGCAACGCTAACAAGCGAGCTGAAATCCAATTTCGACACGATGAAGCCAAAAGGAGGTGGTGACAGCAAAAAGGCTATACCGCGTCGCAAAGTGCAAGAATTAAAACTGGCCTTTAGTGAATTTTATCTGAGCCTAATTCTGCTGCAGAACTACCAGAATTTGAATTATACAGGATTTAGGAAGATATTGAAGAAACACGATAAGGTAATAAATAGTAATGTTGTATAAATACGTATATAAGTAGTGCACTGTATGAATGTGAACCGGGATTACAACGTAGGAATGAGTGAACAAGACTGAAGAAAAATAATAGAAAAATGTTACAAAACCAATTGGTGCCCGCGTCTTTGTCTGCTTAGAATAAATACTTCGAGTAGCCTACTGTACTTACTTACTTAATAAATTATTGGTTCTTCACACCAACTTTCATCGCCTTTAAGATTTATTTTTGTGGCAAAAAATAGCCTATGTCCTTTTTGGTCCCATGCTTAATTCATCAAAGAACAATGGCAAATTCATAGTTAAAAGAATTCGTCAGCGTCTTTGAATAAAATAAATCCATTAGGATTTTCAAATTATAATAGCGGTCTGTCTAAGTCTGGACATAAAATCATATTTAAAAAGAACTCTAATGACTAATTAGTATGTAACCGGACTGATATCTACAACTAACAGTTTCTTAATATTGAGCGACATCTAGCCGCCAAAAAGGAATTTCAGTACCTACATATTGATATGATCCACAGTTAGTTCAGGTAATATCAAATGTACTGATTCGATCGATTTGTAAGAAGCTAATAAAAGATTAACTATTTCATTACAAAAAATAAATTTGATAAAAAATGCCAAGCTGGAAAATGGTAAAACTGACAAAAAAGTTCCCAAAATCAGGGATCGATGGCACGTTCCACAAAAACAAAATAATTTGTGTCCGAGTTACCAGTGCGATAGTCTGTGGTATGTTATTAATACACTCAGTTTTTTTGTTATGGCTTAACTTCTTACCATACCAGTATACAAAATAATTTCCTATGAACTTTCGTCACGTCACAAACGCCACGGCACCATTCTGCTTCTATTAACTCTGTTTAAGGCTTCTGTAGTTTATTTTGATATAATACACGGAATATATTTTATTCAATTACGTAACACATAACCTCCAAAACTTCAAATAGGAATATTTTTAATTTCTGACAAAACAAAATTTGTTCAGGAATTTCAACTCTATATTTTCACATATGTCTCATAAACAGACGCATACAAAACATGTCAACAAAAATTTACATGGGAGTTTGCCATTGTCCTTTGTTTCAGAGAATTAGGCGTGTAAACGTAACAGCCAGTTACTTTCGCATTTGTAATAGTAATTTGGATGATATATTTACAATAGTAGGCAGGGTATAGACCACCACAAGACAAAGTCATGAGACAATAACAAAAATGTAATAAAAAAGCGCCAGAAACAAGTTCAAATTTACATCCAAAGTTACAGTTTTATTGCAAAGGCTGAAAATTGTACCAAAACAAATTAATATAAAAGCAATACATTGGAAATATAATTATTTATTCCGGATTTCGAATCGCATATCGTCGTAGGGATAGTGCAAAGGCGCGGTAGCATTGGCGCGTATCTTCACGTGATCAAATTTTACAGGAGTGGGTTTAAACGTTATACTTTGTTGTTTCAATGGCTACGGCTTTCATTTTTGCATAGTAAGTATTAATTTAAGTTATTTATGGACTGATAACAATAGACCCCAGTAATCAGGCTAATTTGGATGTCACGACTATTACGCAGTTTTGGTTTGGTTACTAACTTACCGTAATGGCAACTTCATAACGTATGCTAGTTACGCGTAACTGCAATATCCCCGACGATATATTTGTACACCCAAAACAACATTAGTTTGTTTTTGGGCTCTTTAAACCCGGCCACATACAGCAGAATTCCGTTTCGGAATTTCGAAGGCAGCAAAACCGTACAAATCACCGCCTTATCATTGTAATATTCCGTTCGAAAATTTTTCCGATTCGAAATTCCGTATGATGGCTTGTGCATTTGAAATTCTGCATAGAAAAAACCGTTCTGAATGCAAGTCGTCCATAGATTTTGTACGGCCGCAACACACGGTCGTAAGTCTGTACGTATTTTCGCTGCGAGAACATTTGGACTCAATGCCTCGCGCCTCTCAGCTGAATCTTGTTATTCCGAACGGAAATAAACGCGTGTGTTATGTATATACGGAATCTCGACGGAATCGATATTCCGAAACGGAATTCCGATAGCATATGGCCGGCCTATGGGTCCCATGGTCACGCACTCTCGAATACAAACAGTGGACCTCTTAACACGGTTAATATCTAAACCCAGCGACCTATATCTCATAACACATCTTTCACATCTTGCCGTACATAATTTTCGCTTATATATGATTTTGTCATTTCCAGTTATTAAACATAAACAACGGTGCGCAATGGCGAGCTGAACATGTTGAAACATCTCATTTCTATACAAACAAAGACATTGATAGACTAATCAGCGATACCGAGGCCACGGTCACGAATGAACTGGAGGGTGGCGACAGGCAGAAGGCAATGAAGAAATTAAGAGTACCCCCACTAGGAGAACAACAGAGTCCGTGGACTACTTTCAAAGTTGGACTGTTCTCAGGGTCTTTTATTGTCCTGTTTATCACTGTTGTTTTATCGGGTAAGTTTTGTAAAATAATTTCGACTGCATTTAGTTTTTTTTCTATACTATCTGTTAATCTACCGATTCATTCTGTAATTAGACAACAGTATGATTTGTAGATCATGTCTGGTTATTGCCAAATTTAGTTTAATAAGTTGCTAATTCAAAATTTATCACGTTGTAATTTTTGTTCTGTGCGTCAAGGCCAAGAGCCGCGTATTTTTACATTAGCGAGATAGCAATACATCTGTCTCGCTCATGCATGTAGGCGCTCTGATTGGTTGATTGTGTATTACTCATTTAGATACTATACTATTCAGCGCTTTGAGATTAGTATAGCGACATATGCCAATAAATGTATTCGATTTCAGATTCTAGTTCTGATTCCAGCTTTCATGTTTGGCTTTTCTAAAGAACCTATTAATACCGCCTAGCAGTAATGCTTATAATGTTCACATTATTGCTTTCCGGTATTCAATAGTAAGGTTGCTGGTGAAATTACACGCACCTGGAACTTGTCAACTTTATGTCTCAGGATAACAGACGCTGTAGTTAGTGCCCCTCAAATCTTTGCGATTTAAAAGTCTGAGTGGCATTGCGACTGATTTGGGTAGGTGTTTTCCGCGTCCCTACGAGGCATCCCTAGAAGTTGTCGCTTGTTCGACGCTAGATTATTATTTGGCCGATAAAAAATATTCAACATGAGCGCAACTATTTTGTACAAGGAAGAAAAAAACAATGGAAGTGCCTTAAGCCTCGACTACTATCAGAACCGCTGTCGCCAAAACTCACACCTTCGTGATTTAAAACATTATGAAATCTTGATAATGATTGTTCGTACTTTATGATTTAAAAAGAAATAAATTCTGGACTGTTAATATAATTTACACTCTACCGTGTTGGCATATCGTTGAAAGTTCAGTACCAGCAACACCTATTATTGCAAGTTACGACGTTTTGATTTTATGTTGAAATTTCAATCTATGTGCTACCGCGGTTAATAGCTGATCGACGACGAATTCGAGATGTTTACTAAGTTCTCCAAAAAAGAAGCGACGATATTGCAGCGGCATAAGGTTTACTTTCATTTCTTGTAACGTAATCGACTTCGTCTTCAATAGATCGATTGTTAGAGCAAACTGCAAACGTGCTCTCGGTGGTAATATGAAGAGAGAGCGAGATCGATTCCATTCTTAAATGTAACTTGACCATCACATGCATACTTGACCTGTAATCATCGAGTATATAACCAGAAATAGATACGAAATAAGAGCCATATATTCCTGGTAACACATTAGCGATACAGCTCTTATAAATATCAACTCCCGTTTGCAATGAAATATAGACAGGCCAACTACTGACCTGTGCGTACGTCTCCTTATATTCCAAAAAATATGATGTATTGATTGTAATAAAGATAATATATCTAATAATGCCGTGCTGTTCTATTCGGTGGTGTGGGAAAAACAGCAAAACATCTAATTACAAAACAAACGGAATCACATTTCATTGGTAATTAAATATTAAATATGTAATTTTGCAATTTGCGTCCATTATAGCAAAGCTCAAGTCAACTGGTCGATTTCAAGTGACGTCGGGCTAGCCAATCGAAGCGCAGTTGTCACGGTAATGACATGGCAGAATAGTTTTCAAACAAATTAAATGACATTTCGTCTCTATTTCTGGTTATATACTCGATGCGTGGAATAAATTTCAGCTCGATATCGCAATTATTCTGTGTTTTGTTTCTATTGAAATACCTCTTATTATTTGAAAAACTTATCGAATTTATTTTATTCAAACTTGTATCAATATCAATAATATCATAATATTTGAAGAATTATTTTAACCATAATTTCGCCATTGTTATTTAGGAAAATTAACTTAAATAAGATTCAGTGACGATACTTAGCACCACCACAGATATTACAAGTGTGGCTATCATTTTGCTCTCCAAAGTAGCAAAACAAGGCATTTTTCTTTACGACGTTTCGAGACGATTTTGATCGAGGTTTTGTGCGAGTACAAAGCGAAACTGGCAGACTCAGCTCTAGTTTACGGAACTCCGCGAACTGTTGGTTCGCGTGACATGCAAACTAAGCACTTCTACTGTATTTATTGTTCTGTGACTTTGCACGATTTAGGTTGGATGGGTGAAATTAGGCTGTGCATGATGATGAACACTATGATTTAACCTTCACTGGGTTCGCGAAGTAGCAAATTAATTTACTTTTTATTTTTATTAGAAAGTTGTGATTCAAATCCCATGTTTTAGATAGATGTTAAAACAATGTATTAAATTCCCTATACGCTCAGGTTGTCCTTTTATTTTTCTTGCCTGTAAATTTCACTTAAATCTTTATTTCATAGGTTAACAAATTACATGTGATATAGTAAAATGGACGGCCAACCTTCAGGATTGAAGAGGCACTGAAAGAAGAAGATAATCAAATTTACTACTTAAATATCAGTAGTAGGCTTGGTCAATAGGTACTAAACATAAAAACTGGGATTTACAAAATATTGCATCAAATATTCCTACCTAAAAAAATCCAACTTTGCATCGTGCCCGGCTCCAAAAGAACTTATTATACTGGCTACATTGCCGCGCTGGACGGCAATGAACATCGGCTGAACCAACCACGACTCAGAGCGGTGATTACAGGCCCTGTCTCTGAGTCGGCGTTTCAACTCAAATTAACCATAAAAAAGTCACACGTAATAAATATCTCTTTATCTAAGTGTACTTAAAATTTAAGAACATTACATTCCATAGCAAAGATATCCAGCGATTACCTTTATCTCGTTTGTTTTGCTGACCACAACGTTATCATTGTGCATATTTGTATTTTGTAGTAAAACATAATCCGTGTACGGAAATCTATTTGTTATGGGATAATCTTTTTGATGTTTTTGGAATGGATTTTCCATGCATCACAGAAATCTAAATAAATTATTTATCGCTCGATTATTCTTGGATCGATAAAAAATATTTAAAACAAATGCAGCTATTTGCACGATATAACTTTCATTGAGTTGTGAAGTAGCAAATTAGTTTATTTCCATTTTTATTAGAAAGGTGTGATTTAAATCGCATGTTTTCGACAAATAGATACTGAAACAATGCAATTAAACACCCTACACATTTAAAGAAATAAATTACTTAGATTTCCGTGGTTATACAGCTTTAGCTGTATCCCGCACACGTTGCAATTAGAGGTGGGCGTGGGCGAACGAAAAGCGCATAAAAAAGTTTGCTTTTTAAAAAAGCACAGCACGCTTTTCAACATTACGCTATTTAAGCGTAAGCCTTAACAACTTTCTTATATTTCAAGTCCCGCCATCTATGGTTCCTAAACAAATTAATTCATCAATGGGAACAATAATTTTATTAATAAAAATAAATTCCTGTTTTACAAATAAACTATATTTTCTTTTTTATGTGTTGCGCGGTAACTCCATAACCGATTTTGATGATTCATTTTCTGTTTAAAAGGGGGTACCTCAATAGTGGTCCCATTTATTTTGAAGAAAATATTCCACCTCCAAGTTTACCACAAACTAGGAGATGAATCCGCGAAAACTCGCGCACTTTCCGGTAACCGATTTCAATACAACTTGGCAAAGCGATTCTTCCACGAACTTTTGAGGTCTGTTTTTTTAGTACTCTGTACTAAGGTTAATACGTACAACGTAAAACGTATCAATACACATGCTGTTGATGTGCCTTTTGAAAATAAATAAATAAAAGCTTTCATAGATTTCTCACAGGTGGTGCTACGGCAAAAAAGCCGTCAAAATCAAAGACAAAGAAAGATCCGTAACAAAACGCATAGAGAAATTCGTAAGGCCTGCTGCTCGATCTGTAGCTCAGTCGATGGAGCGGTTGCCTTAGATTAGCAAAACGGACACAGGTTCAAGTCCTGTCAGATCGAAAGAATTTTTCTGTGTTCGATCTTTGTATTAATAATTAATATTTTTTTGTTTAATTAAATTTTTATTGAATTGATATTCAATTATTTTTTGTGAAATTACTCCACTAGTTTGTTATAATTATTAATACAAAGATCGAACACTCAGAAAAAATTCCTTCGATCCGGTCGGATTCGAACCGTTCTTGCATACCGAGCCAGACGCTATACCAACTAAGCCACGGAACGAACCAACGGACCTCACGAATTTTTCTATGTGCTTGCGCCGTGTCTTTGTACTTGGTCTTTCAACGTTCAAATTTTTTTGTTTGTTTCAGCCCTCTTCCACGAACGTGGCGCAGAAAACTTAAAGACAGCGTTTAGACTCTACAGGGGACCCTTTTTACTAGTTGAATTTATATTTTTAATAGGAATCAATATTTACGGATGGAGATCGTCCGGTGTTAATCATGTACTTATATTCGAATTGGATCCAAGAAACCACCTTTCAGAGCAACATTTGATGGAAATGGCCGCCATTTTTGGCGTTGTATGGGCATTGAGCATTTTGAGTTTTATATACAGCGCAAGCCTCAGTATACCACCCTTCGTGAACCCTTTGGTGTTAGTTATTATTATGGTGGTGTTCATTATTAACCCGTTAAAAGTGTTCAGACACGAAGCTAGATTTTGGTTTATGAGGATATGTGTGAGTATTGTTTTATTTATATTCTATGGTTCGCCTCTTAGATCATTTCGCATTCGTACGAAGCGCTTTGCTTCTTTCCTAAGGACCAAAGAGTAACATAATATTACAAAGGAATGGAAGGTGTCTGTATCTTTATTTCTCCAAAACTACAATTCGCACCCTTGGTGTAATAATGCCACATCTACAAAATGACAACCGTTCTGGAAAGAGGCTTAAATACCTAACATAATAATACATTAATATTAAAATTTAGGGTATACAGTATATTATGTTGTGAGTAAAAGGTACTGCGCGCGTGACTTTTTTGAAGTTTCGCGCCCTGTGACGGACATCCATTATTGGAGCGAGCGAAACGCACGTCAATGCAGTCTGCGAGCCTTTCTTCTGCTTGCTCTTTTCGAAAACGTTCATCCATGACAAGGAAGAGGTTAGGAAAACCCTGACAAAGGTTGTTATGCACTTACACAAATAAAAACAAATAAAATTTTTAAATACATGCTGACTTGTCATTCATGCAGAAAGAAGAAAATGAAATAGGTTCTCATCACCACACACTCTCAATGTTGACGCATGTCGTACTGCATTTGTGAAAATGAGTGCGAAATTTCAGTAATTGTGGAAGAAAAAATAGAACTCTGTTGCATCCCTACCCGAAACTCCCCCAATATCGGTGTAATCTTTTGTTTTAATCCTTAAAACAATTGCAGGGTCGCATCCTGGCGGCTCCGTTTATCCCCGTGACCTTCGCAGACTTCTGGCTGGCCGATCAATGGAACTCCTTCGCGGCCGCATTCTTGGACTTCCATTACCTCGCTGCATTTTATATCGCAGGAGGCGATTGGTACACGACAACTGGTGAGTAAACTAATCTTGATGTCCGTGATGAAGTTCAACATAATATGACTCTGTGCAATTAATATGATGTTACACTGGTGATTTTGTTACGATTTAGTCCTCAGACAAGACCTCAAATGGCTTTAGTTGATTCCGCATAAAAGTGAAAATGTTGAATCAATTCACTTTGGAAGAAAATATAGTCAAATTGAGGATATTCACAGATTACGGTGTAATAATACGACTCACAAAAAACACAAACTTATCTCAAAATTTTACAACAAAACCGCTGTGGTCAATAGGTACTTTACATATACCAATAATTATTTTTATTATATCAACTGAACTAAATAGACCACGTATAGCATAGGTTCCCAAACTTTTTGGCTCACCGCCCACTTAGGCAAGATAATAAAATTTCAACGCCCACCCCCACAAAAAATAATTGACAACAATAGGTCAATGGACAACACGTATTTTTCATATTAACTTAACACTAAAAAATCATAAGGAAATAAATTATATTATGTAGTGCAGTTTACATAGATAATTCAGGTTTTTTCGAATGTGACAGCATCAACCCCCTGGACAGCATCAATACCTCCCGATTACTTCCGAGGCCCCTACCGGCCCCCTAGGACTCTTCAGCGCCTACTGGGGGGACCACTTTGGGAAACTATGACGTATACTATACGACATACATTTTTCAAATGGCTTTCAATTCGTTTGAAAAAAAATAAATTCTGAAATAAAGCCAGTGTTCCTGCGCAATAGAACCGATTCAGTACGGGAAAAAAATGAATTCGAGCTGAGATAGTATCGACTCTTAAAGGTTCGCTGTGGTAAAATTAGTTCGTATTAATCTTACCCATTCGAATAAACTATAATATAGAAATGCCAACTTATTTGCCCGCCCCTGATGGCGGTAAAAGCGATAGTAGCTCAATGGGAGAACGATTGCACTTCAATTAAGAAGTCAAATTTTCGAATCCCTATGCATGCATATATGACTTTTGCTTTATAAGTTGCGTACATTTGTGAATAATTAGCAAAGACCTGCTAAAGGATAACATCGCGACGAATGCTCGTTGAAGAAAGTTCACCACCCTTAGAATCCTCAAAGCCCATTGGGCCAGCTGGTGTAGTATCACAGTAGAATAAGACATGTATGGTAACTCCGTACAAACGTAGCGGCTTGTACATGTGTGCATTGCACAGCGCGGACCGTCACACGCGCCATTCATTATACAATTTAGGCGTTCACTTGGTGTTTCAAAAATAACATCAAATAATAAACGTGATTATATCGATTTTTTAGGTTTTCACGATTATTACACATAGGAAATGAAACTATTTTTTCAAGTGAGTCAGCCCTGACCATGGGACTTGTACGGGACCCGAAACGTTGATATGTTTGGAAAAAAAAGAAATATACGCGATCATAGATTAGATCCCAAAAAATAGTTTCGTTTCCTAAATAGACCTTGTGTTCGTGGTTGTTTCAATAATAGTGTTTCAAATTGAGAATTGTTCAGCATATCATACCTATTTCATAATCATTTTCCCATAATCGAGATACAAATCAGCGATTCTGGGGGTCTACTGCCGTCCTCCATCCGACAGCCGTCTTCCATCCGACAGCCGTCCGAAACAATTACTGTCATATGAGTAATACTTGGATGTTGGACGGAGAACGGGATTAGACCCCCAAGTAATATCAATACGCAAGTTTTACATTTAATAATGGCAATTTCAATATGGCACGGGAAAACTTTAATGAGCACCTTATTTTTTTCAAATGATGTTTACAACCTGTGGGTATAACTAAAACATTAATGTTGTGACAACCCTAGGCTTCGAGGGAACATAGGCATTTGCCCTAGGTACTTGTGTTAATATTATACTATGGTACCATCGCCTAAAACTTTAAAGAAGAATACAAGGGGTTTACAGCGTAGTACATGTTTTTTTTTTCAGATACATTCGAATTAACGCGCTGGTTTATAATAACACGCGGTTTAGTAAATATAATACCAGCTTGGACGCGTTTCTGGCAATGTCTGCGTCGGTACCGCGACAGTCGAGATGTGTTCCCGCATTTAGTCAACGCCGGGAAGTACTCCACCACACTGTTCGTTGTTCTATTTGCTACATTACGGACACTACACAAAGGTACGTTGCCGGTAATGCAGTTATACAATAAGTACCTCCTTCCCTATACTACTATCTTATTACCACAAATGTTGTCAGTTTTAACAGTTGTTTCAAGTTAAGGGTACCCCCCGCACCGACTGAGTAAACAATAGCCGCTTATTCTATTGATATATTAAAATAGTATTTGCAACTAAAATTGAGTGTAGTGTACATAAACTAATATTTTGTATTAAGAAGTGTAAGCGGAAGTGTTATCCTCGAAATCCTAAACACCAAAATCGAGAAAAGTGATAATCCGTTATGCAACAATACACCGATATCAAATGTTGTGAAATGCTATAGGCGTATCTGCAGTGGTTATTAAACACATCAAAATAAAGAAAGGCCTTGACCTACGGGATTAAAAGGTAAGCAGATGCCCAAAATACACTGACTAGTTGTAATATAACCTAACAGCTGTGCAAATCGTTGTTGTCATCCATATTAGACAAATCAAAAATTGTCTATAGCGCCATCTAGCGGTGAATAGTGGTACTCTTATTCGAAGAATCGAAACCTATCACAGAACCAGTAAGCTTCAGCTTCCTCCCGTAAGATGGCGATATCGTGTGCAGGCTGTCGTCAAAAAATAAATAGTAAACTCTTTCTAAAATGCTATGAATGCAAAGATAATTATGATTTGGAATGTGCTAACGTTCCAGAAAAGAGATTTTTTAACACTATGACCAAAGAACACAAGAGCTGTTGGAAGTGTCCATTATGTCGTGCCAAAAAGCCAAAAACCGATAATAATAATACCCCGGTGCGGCAATATCATCAGACAGACCCTTCTTCTTCTTCTTCCTTGCAACTAAATAATCAAGAAAACGTGACATTGAGGACAAAGCGAAAAGAACACCGATCACTGGATTCGTCTAATGAAGAAGATTCCATGAGCTTAGAGGGTGATACCCTAATACCTGACTCCCCACAAATACAAACATATAACGAGAGTCATGATAACAATGTATCTCAAAAACCACCTAGGAATCTTGATGAGACAATAACCATCGAAAAATTCTCTCTTTTATTACAAAAAAACAATGACGAGATTGTCAAAAAACTTAAGAATTTAATACACGAGCAAATAGCATCAGTTGTACAAAAATGGGAAGAAAACTTTAAAAAAAGTACTCAAACTATTTCTCTAGAACAGTCAAAAATTAAAAAAGATATAGCCACTCTAGACAGCAGAATAAAAACACTAACTGAAAGATGCTCTGAACTACAAGCTGAAAATGAAAATATGCAAAAAGAAATGAGTAAACTACTAGAAACCCACATCACCCCTGCAATATATGAAACTTCCCGTAAATCATTCGTCCTCCATGGACTACAGGAACAACATTGGGAAAATGAAGAGGATGTAGAAAATAGAATCATAAATATTTTCCACGATGTTCTAAACATAAATCTTACAGGCTATATAGAACAGATATCTTATATTGGTAACAAAAAGAGTTATAGAAGACCTATTAAAGTAGAACTAATTAGTAAAAAGATGAGCACGTATATAGTAGAAAATTCAATATATTTTAAAGACGCGGGCTTAAGCGTAACAGAATACCTGAGTAAGACAGCGCTAAAAGAGCGGAAGAACTTGAAACAGGCTCTATATGAGGCTAGGAAAAACGGACACTATGCTGTTATAAGAAATGGTAAATTGTTTGTGGATCCCAAAAATAACAAAGAGAAGATATATTCCCAAGAAAACAACCACCATAATGTAGAGACCTCTAAAATAAGAATCAATAATTCTTTTTTTCGAGACTGACTTTTGTATCTTGTACCAAAACATGAGGAGCATATATAATAAAGTACACCTACTAGAACATTTATTACAGGAAAAAAAGGATATACAAGTAATATGCATTACCGAGACGTGGTTGAATGAAGAAAAGTTAAGATTAATACAAGTTAATAATTTTAATATAGAGTCAAATTTTTGCCGGAAAAATCACACGGGTGGTGGTGTATGTATTTTTATAAAAAAATGTATTGAGTGTTTCGAGAGATTGGACATTAAATCATTGTCATTAGAGACAATTGTTGAGGTATGTGCAATTGAAGTACCTAAGGCTAATTTATTGATTGTAAATTTGTATTGGCCTAATGGTAACCAAACAAAAAAGGAAACAGAAGATTTTTACACACGTTTGGAGAAACTTTTAAAATTACTATATATTAAAGACTGTAAAAAAGACATAATTATCGGTGGTGATTTTAATGTTAATTTTCTATCAAATGACAATACCAAAAAAACCCTTTCAGACCTTATGTTAGTATACAATTTTCGTCAAATGGTAAAAGAACCTACACGAGTTACATCACATAGTGCAACTTGTATTGACGTCATATTTACAAATTTTTCAAACAAAAACACCCTAATTAACGTACAAGACTTAGGTCTATCTGACCACAAAGGAGTTTTTATATCAACTCCCCTTTTTACGCCAAAAATAAATTTCTTTTTCAAAACAAAGCGAAACTTTACCGAAACAAATATGATGAAATTCAAATGTACATTGCAGACAATAAATTGGAATGAAATCTTTGACGCTAGTAGTGACATAGACGAAAACTATATCAAATTTAATGACATACTCCAAAAAATACTGAATAATTGTATACCTAAGAAACTAGTTAAGATATACGTCAAATCAAAGAAAACCTACATTACACCAGGACTAAAAATATCTTGCCGTAACAAACGATTACTTAAACTATTTATATCTCAGACTAAAAGCAAAATATTGAGAAACTATTATAAAACATATTGCAAAATACTTAAAAGAGCGGTGTTCAAATCTAGAAAACTTAATAACATTAGACATTTTGAGAAGTCATGTAATAAAATTAGAACCACATGGAGAATTATAAATAATGAAACAAACAAAATTCCCTCTATAAATAAAAATGTTGAACTTAAAATGAATAACCAACAAATATTAAAAGAGCCGAAAGGAATTGCTAATTTATTCAATAGTTTTTTCGCTTCAGTTGGAAATATACATACTGACAGCCAACAAAAAAATCCCCTTAAAAATATACTAGAGAACACATTTTTCCTAAAAGAACCTAACGAAAAGGAAGTAAAACAAATCATACAAAACTTAAAAAATAAATCTTCAATGGGTATAGATGAAATACCTCCTACTTTGATTAAAAAATGTACACATGAGCTGATAACACCCTATACGAAGCTCATAGGTCAATCATTCACTGAAGGCCAGTTCCCAGATATGTTAAAAATATCATTAATTAAACCTATATACAAAAAAAAAGGCGATCCCACAGATCCAAACAGTTATCGTCCCATTGCATTGCTACCAACTTCGGCAAAGATATTTGAAGCAGCGATGGCAAATCGCCTTTACGCGTTCTATGAAAAATTCTTTGTATTCCATAAAAACCAACATGGTTTCAGACAAAAGCATTCCACGACTTTAGCCATCTATGAATATGTCCAAAAAATTCTTGACGCGATAAACAATAGCAAATACGCAGTAGGTCTTCTATTGGATATGAGCAAAGCGTACGATAGAGTTCGCCACAGTACGCTATTGGATAAATTGTATGAAACAGGTATTAGAGGTACAACGCACAAATGGTTTAAATCTTACTTCGAAAATCGGAAACAATATGTAGAAATGGAAAATACTAACTTTAATACGGGCAGGATAGAAAATATCAGGTCTGAAGAAGTATCAATGAAGGGCTCTATCCCACAGGGTAGCGTATTGGGATGTATATTATTTCTGATCTACATAAATGACTTCCCCCATGAACTGGATGACCAATGTACTCTCTTCGCGGATGATATATCAGTTATTGTACCATGTTCTAACACTAATGAATTAAATAATAAACTGGATTTCATATTGGACAAAATTCACAATTGGCTTGAATGTAATAACTTAAAATTAAACCTAAATAAGACTAAACTAATTCAATTTAAGCCTTCCCAAAAAATTCCTTTACCTTTAAACTATAATTACAATAAACAAAAATTAACTGCTGTTGACACTGCAACTCTATTGGGATTAGACCTCGACACAAACATGGACTGGAAATCGTTCGTCCGTAATCTGACAAATAAGTTGTCATCGTTCACATACGCCCTACGTCACTTAAAGCGTGTTACTGACTTTAAATCTGCCCTCGCAGCGTACTATGCATACTGTCACTCAAGATTATCTTATGGCGTCATTATATGGGGAAACTCAACTAACGTTAACGATGTATTTGTAGTACAGAAAAAGTGTGTTAGGATACTGACGAGTAGTGAACGGACAGACTCTTGTAAACCCCTCTTTAAAAAACTAGGTATATTAACTTTAACAGATATATACATATTCGAGTCGTGCAAATTTGTTAGAAACCATCCAACTTCATTTACTCCAAAAACCGGGAATAAGCGCAACAATAGAGACCTTCATCAGCTACAAGTACAATTTTCTAAATTAAAATTAGTTTGTTCAGGACCTCAAAGTATGGTAACCAAAGTATATAATCACATACCAACTGATTTAAAAGAAACGAAAGACTTTAAAATTTTCTCTAAACGTTTAAAGGAATTTCTATTAAATAAAAATTATTATAGTGTTAAGGAATTTCTCGAGGACGAAATGTAATTTAAAATGTTTCAATATCTGTTATCTATTATATGAACAAATTTATTTAGCTTTATAATAGTTTTATGCAATTATTATTTTTACTATTATTTGACAATTTTGTAATAATGGTACCCTCACAAACTTGCTGTGCCCTTATAGGGTGTCACATGTACATTTAAAACCTACTGTACCTAGATTAATATAAGTGTGACAATGCAATAAACGAAATAAATAAATAAATAAATAAATAAATAAATTACTTTTTGTTGCCGGTAAACATTCAAAAGGCGCCATTGACATTCCGCGGAACGGAATGGACGCGGATATTTATAGTTATAGCCATTGAGCTACTAACAAATGGTCGTCAGGTCCAATACAAAAACCACGAAAAAAATGTCCGAAGTTAACCTATACAAACGTAGTGACATGTAACGAAATATAATAAAAACTAAGATATTTAATTTAAATTGTAACGTCATTGCAGTACTGCCTAATTTAGCTTGCAACAATTTAAAGAGCCCGAAAGCACCATATTCAGCTTCTACTGGAAGCTTAACAAAATGCACCATAATGCCTGTATTGTAAATATCAATTAATTTTTATGAATATTATTATGTCAAATTTTGTAAAAATTCACTTCAAGAAATAATAAAGAGTATTAATAAATTACAAAATATTACAAATGTGAAAATAAGCGTGTACTATAAGAAATGTACCAAAATTCCAACTAAACGTAATTTTGATGCTTCTCACAAAGGCAATATTAACTGTTGATTTGTAATATTCCTAAAAAAATACATTTGATAATATGAAAATTCGAAGTAGCGTTATTTCGGGCAAATGTATTTTCTGACCTCTGATACGTAATCCCAAGGCGTAAAACGTCAACAACAACAAATTGTTAGTTATTGCTAACATTCAATAGAAAATCATTTTAAAATATGATTAAAATCCAAGCGACTCTATAGTTTCTTTGTTCTAAATATTTGAATCGCTTATGATTCGAACAATTGAAAGTGACCTAGAAGTTTATATAAGATTCTTGAAATTGACGTAAAAGGGTCTCTTTCCATTTTTTGCGCATGCAATGTGCAGAAAAAGGACAGTTAGCTATTTGATTGTTTTGTTTGCTTTTGTAATTTATATTTTCGATTCATTCATATATAAATTAATTACTATACAACTGCACAAAATAACCTTTTAAATGATAACTATGATAACACAATATATTTGTTTAGTGAAAATATGATACAAAATCCTGTTTTAACACTTTACTGCAGTAATTTTTACAAGTTCTTATTATATAGCATGATTGACAACCGCGCCGTCAGTCGAATAAACGAAGACTGTTGCGCGATTGACGCTCTGTATACGATTTTAACGCCCTATAGGTGCGCACACTTTTTAGCGCGAACCCGACGTCGTCCATTTGTTAGTAGGTCAATGACTATAGCACATTGAACTTTATATCAAAATTGTGTAACGTACAAACTAGAAACGAGCCAAAAAACAACTCGCGCGTCTTCTGGAGAATTCTCGGGCTATCTCGACAATTCCCGCAAATGCCGTATTAAAGTGCTAAGCTTAAAGTGTTAAGCAATTTCGTTACAAAAATTCGCTTTCATTCTCTTTCGAGGCAATGTAAATTGAGCCTAACAAACATTTGTAGATACGAAATTGCATTATGCCGGTCAGAAAAAGCTATACGACCATGAAATAAGGGCGAAAAAGACGTCGTTTTCTCGTCGGCGCGGCGATCTGAACGAAAGGGCGTTATTTTCGCTCTTGTAGCAAAAAATTAAACATATAATTACTGTGTTTAAATTACTGACTTAAATCCTTGCGGCATGCCCATGTGATATTATTTAGAAAAAAACATGTTACATCTGGTTTAGTCTGTTAAAGTACGTAAAAGCTTATTATGCACACGGCATATTTTATACGCGCCGACAACGCGTTTACGGCGCCTTAAACGCGCTGCAGACGCACTGTAGTGAATTGATACAAACTCGCAGAAATATCGCGTTGCAAACAAGAAGCTTATATATTGTATATGTATACTCTTTTCTACGCACCGTCTAGCATGTCGTTCTGACTTATACGTAGTATAACGCAGTTGCGAAGACGCGACGCGGACAAAACGCCCGTGTGGCATCTCCCTAAAATTACCCGTGTGCATAAGCTCTAATATTTCAATATTTGTATGCCTATTGTTTGGCCGGACACAGTGAAACTATCCGGCCGGTTTCGAACCGACGTCTTCTAGTATACCGTGCCAAACGCTATACCAACTAAGCCACGGAACGAACCAGCGGACCTCACGAATTTCTCTATGTGCTTGCATCGTATCTTTGTATTTCGTTTTTCAACGACTTTTTAGCCGTAGATCGAAGGAATATTTTCTGAGTCTTCGATCTTTGTATTAATAATTATAACAAACTAGTGAAGTAATTTCACATAAAAATAATTGAATATCAATTCAATAGAAATTTAAATACAATGAATAGCGACGTCTCTAGCCGGGGCTGGTAGCTGTAAAGGGATCTAAGTGGGTGACGAATAACATAGATTTCCCATAGATGACGCTACGGCTAAAAAGTCCACAAAAAAGCACATAGAGAAATTCGTGAGGTCCGCTGTTTCGTTTCGAGACTTAGTTGGTATAGCGTCTGCCACGGTATATTAGAAGACGTCGGTTCGAATCCGGCCGGATCGAAGGAATTTTTTCTCGGTGTTCGATCTTTGTATTAATAATTATAACAAACTAGTGGAGTAATTTCACACAATAACAATTGAATATCAATTCAATAAAATTTTAAACAGTGTAACTGTATTAATTTTGTACATGTCGGCTTCTATACGACCAGTATTTTCACAAATAAATTAATTATAAATTCAAATTCATTTATTCAGATAACTATAAATTGCATGGACATATGATAAAGCTATTTTTGACCGGCTAATCGATTTCGCATTAATAACTATGGTGACTCCGTTATGAGACCTCAGTGAGTACGACTTGCAAATAAAAAATGTTTTCAGACAGCTACTCCGGCCTATACGACAACCCGTACGTGTACGCGTGGATCATCTGTTCAGTGATATCGTCGTTGTACACGTATACGTGGGACGTTAAGATGGACTGGGGGTTATTTTCGTGCGGGCCTAATGCCGAGAACAAGTTTTTAAGAGAGGAAATTGTGTATAACACAGGGGTAAGTGACATCATTTAAAAAATGGCTTAGACTACATTTTAGTGGCGAATGTGGATGGAATGACAAAGTAGAAAAAGAATGCAGGTAGCGAAAAAGATGCCAATAATTCACGGTCGTAGCAAATAACAGACCATAGTAAATAGAGTAAAAAAGACAGCAGCAGTACAGCTCCAGCTCCTTGTGAAAGAGTTCGTCCAGGGAAGTACTGCCGCCAAGCAGTAATGTGAGCATTACTGCGTTCCGGATGTGAAGCGTAAGGTACATGGAATTTGCCAACTTTATGTCTCAGGGTGATGGGTACAGTGGCAGTCTTTGCAAACCAACGACCACTCGAATGAAAACTCGTCGGATCAAATCCGTGTACGTACGACACAACACGACATTTGTGAATGGTTAGTAGCAATAGACTAACGGCAAAGGGAAACATGATGAAACCTGCCCGTTAAAGAATGCTATGGAAAAATGTCAAAGAAGAAGTCCCCAAACAGTAATGAGCTAGAGTGGCAAATCATGGCCTAAACCCTCTGTTCAAAGGACACTTGTGCCCCGCAAACAATACAAAGGCACCTTAAAAGAAAAAATAGATAATAATAATAACCTTTTGTTACAGTTTTACTACTTCGCGATAGTGGAAGACTTATTGCTTCGATTTGCGTGGTCGTTCTCTTTCCTGTTAAGCGACAACTTGCAAATTGCCAGTGGGGAGACCATGACGTCTATACTGGCCCCGTTGGAAGTTTTCAGGTGATACAATTATAACATTTATATATGACCTTGATGCATATTAGCTAGCTAGCACTATGGGCGCTAGATGTGATCATGATAAAGAATGTCTCTACCTCATAACTGCTTTGAGTTTCGTTTAAAATCAGGGGTCAATCAACTTTTTTACTAACACTGCTGTGCATAAGGCTCAATATACATTTCTGCGGAACGGAGTAGAAATTCAATCAGATTAAAAAATCAATTCAATTGAAATCAATTGCAATTGATTTTAATTGCAATTAAATTAATTGCAATTAATTTTTTTAGTTGTTCTAAGAAACAATGAAACTAACAATTAAAACCGACAGTACCGAATAAAAGTGTCATTACGAATATGGGTTTGGGGGTCAGTTGGGGGGTCGGTTGGATGGTCGGTTGGGGGGTCGGTTGGGGTACCGGTTGGGGGGCCGGTTGGGGTACCGGTTGGGGGGCCGGTTGGGGGGCGGGTGGGGGGACCGGTTGAGGGGCCGGTTGGGGCGCGGTCAGGGGTGAGTGACCCACCCCCAAACCCAACCCACCCACACACCCGCTCACCCACCTACTCACCCGCTCACCCACCTACTCACCCGCTCACCCACCTACTCACCCGCTCACCCACCTACTCACCCTACCACCTAAGCCACGCCCTAACCCACCCGCTGACCCATCCCCTAATCCACCACTAACACGCTGTTTTTTTTGGCCCGTATCTAGTTTGTACGTTGCTGTAGTTACAAAATACGCTTCCATTTCGTTCCGCAGTAATGTAATTGATGCTAAATGTGTAAATAAAATTTTTAAATCGCTTAACATTTTGATAATTATTTCTTTATTCATAATTGAATATCATGGTGGTGAAACTTCCCGACATTCGATAAAACCTTAATTACAATTTAAAATAATAATATTTTTTATGTGTACAGAAAATACTTTCATAGTTATTAGTTTCATAGTTATACTTTCATAGGCACGGCAAAGAAGTTGTTAAAATTTTTATAATTTAAAAAATTGCCAATTTGGCTGTAGTCTAAATCATGGACCATTAACTCACGAGGACTGCTAATCGCGACACAAGAAAGCGTAGTTAGTCATTTAGTAACGCACTGGTACACCAGATGTCGCGAAGAGTACCAAATAGCTATTTTTCTATTTTATTTTTAAATAACTAAAGTTCTACATTGACGAGCTACAATTTATGAAAGCTACTCTAACTTGTGTATACTTCGTTTCAACCAATTTTAAACAAAAAGTAAAGAAACAAGTCACTGACCCGACTTCATTATTTAAAAATTAATTATTAATTAATGATTAATTAAAAAATAACCTCACTTTTTGACCACCATTTTTCAAATACGATTTTGGATGTCATTCAAATGAATATTGCTGAAAATAGTGATGAGCTATAAAGTCAAAATGTTCGAAATCTACGTGAAAGTGTCGATTTATTGAGTGATTGCTTTGGAAATTCAACCAAACCATTTTGTTTAATGGATTGTAAAATGGTTGGAACAGACTATACATTTATATAATTAAATTACCTCCACATCATCAGCCTGTTGTTGCCAAAAAGGGCCTGCCACTAATAGTAAATAATCTTTCCAGCTTTTTCTCTGTCTTCCGCATCTGCGTTTGTTTTCTCTTAAAAAGGCCAATTTAATGTATGATGACCTTTTAACTAAACGATTTTTTACTTTATTTTAGACGTTTCATCTGGAACTTCTTCCGTCTAGAAAACGAGCACTTAAACAACTGCGGTCAATTCAGAGCCGTCAGAGACATATCAGTAGCGCCTCTCGACTCCTCCGATCAAGCGGACATCATAAAGATGATGGATCACCCCGATGGGGTAGTTACCAGGTTAACAAAGAAAAAGAACGAAAAAAAGAAAAAAGACAATGACCGCAAGCCTTTGCTTAAGAAGGAGTCCATCCAGGATTTGCAACTCGAGCTTGACCTATCTTCCAAAATGCTATAATTTTGGATAGTATACCGTCACAAAACCTCCGAAAAACTGCACTATTGCCATCTCTTTCACACACCAAGATAATTTGTAATATGTTATCTCTGTTATACGTAGAAGACAACAATGTATCTTTAAACTGAAATAACGTCAATATTATTAATTACTGCTTTGAAGATACGAGAATCTAATTTCGCTTTAATTTGTCTGTATAAAAAACTAGAATGTTGTCATTTCTTCGAAAATTTACTATATTGCCATCTCTTTCTCACCTAGGAAAAACGCCAATATTGTTATTCCTTTCAATAATCATCATGGCGTCTATCCAGAGCATGTATTGTTTGATCTGTCTTCATAAGAATCCTCTAATACCATGTATAAACTAATTCTTCATAACTTAATAATATAAACTCAATTCTCTATTTTTGTAACACATAAAGGAAGCTTCAATGTTGTCATCCCTTTCCCACTTGAAGAAATTTAAATGTTGCCTTCCTTCAGTATTTGTATATCGAAAGTGAAGGCTAGTAGGAAAACACAAACATTGATATCAAAATTCAGTACAGAATGTTGTCTTCTCTTTCACACGTAGCGAATTCTATATTCTTAACAAACTGAAAAACTATAACTTTGTTGTCCTTTTCACACTTGTTGTATAAGCTCGATATGTGTAATTATAAAATGCGTACGTAACCTGTGATACCCGTTATGCTATACGATAGTAATTATTCCAATTATATTTATACATTAGATGTGATCAATATTAATAAACGATTGATTTTGATTTAAAGTTTGATTTCTTAATATAGACAAGGGTCCGTAGGCTGAAGCATGGCTATATACAGCGTTATTAGTAATATAGTAATAACGTCACAGGACGATATCACTAACATCTTTGTTCCGTGACTTTTAATAATTAATCATATTTTACTATCGTACAAAAATAAAAACTTCAATGGATCTATTGGGCTTTGATGCGCCGAACCGGCTGGAATTGTCCTACTTGTCTTAATTATGTAATAAAAATAATAAAATATATTTATTTCTCAAATTTTATACAAATCGTAGATGAGCGTGTGAGTTTCCTCATTTAGCAAATTTATGCTTGTATTGGGAAAGCCTCGCAACTTCCTTGAACTATACATTTAGTATAAAATACTATATCTTGAGTGATTTCACAACGATTTGGAGCGGTGGCCTTCCACATACACATTTAAATGTACGATTTTCCAACGTAAATGCGTTCATTGTTAACGACACCCCCAAAACGACACCCCTGGGGTGTCGTTAACAATAAGCATTTGTTGACGACACCACCAACAAATAGTGTTGTTACCCTGCTGTATGTTCGTACCTATACCATAATAATTAATAAAATAAAAAGAACCTGTAAAGATATTTTTATTTAATTTGATCGAAGCTCAATAATCCTTATTATTTCAAACATTATCTGTCTTCTTTTTACGACAGGTACGTTGTTAAGTTCTTGACCAATAAATTCTCCGAAATTACGATTTGCTTCTTTCAGGCTTGCTTCATTAGCCATTTCAGGAGTTTGTGTACTGACATTGTGGTCCTTTCCCCAATTATAATTGTCAGATTGAATGCCAACTTCTTTTTTGTTCTGAACCCTTTGTGAAGTTGAGGGATTAACATCAACAGAACAAACATTTACGTCGTGATATTGCTCATAGAGCATTTGAGTATCTTGAGTATCCCAGGTTTGACTACAGGAAGCGTCAAAATCAGCATTTTTATTTTCAAGCACATGTTTGGATCGTTTCGACATTATTTTGACTATTCAAAAATCAACGATTTCACAATTTTTTCCAAATGGCAAATGTTCGAGAATCGCCTGACACGAGTGACAATTTTCTCTTTTTTCAACGAAGTGTATGAACTTTTTGGGATCCAAAACCAAAAAGTTTTTGCTTACTCGTTATTTATTCACTCATCATAGCAAAGTGAGCGAATGTTAATAAACCAAAACGTAAAATATAATAATAATATTTTATCAGTTGGCAACAAAATAAACTGATAGATACCCTGTGAAGGAAAAGTATCTTTAGTTTCTTAATTGCTCCAAGGCTTGGCCTACTGAGAGACTTCCAGACACTAATCCTATCTGGATTTCCATGATCATATTGTCGTTAGTGATCTGCTTTTTTTTCCTTTGTTTTGTAATGGATCCTGACCCTTGGTATGGCATAATTTTATTCAACAGACGTAACAATGTTTTGTTGCTGGTGTTTATGTTTTTATTCAATTTTGAATGATATCCCTCAAGCACGTTGTTGGTGCGATGCCTTTCTCCGAATACGCTAATCACATCAAACGAATGTTTCTTCAACCAAAAAGTTTCCACGTATTTTGTAAATTGTGACATTTCTATATTGCCTGCACACAACGCCTTTATAAATTGCCACCCTTCCATGATATGTTGTGAAGGCAGCAACGCTAACGCCTTTGTTAACCCTATAATTCTTTTTTCTGCATAAACTTTTGAATGACCTAATTTATCTGCTTTTTTGTTAATGTTTTTGCACCAGTGAAAGTAACAACCTTTCAAGACAATATTGGGGAATAACATTTTTAATGCGTTCATTGATGCCATTTCAAAATCAGAATGTACTTTAATAGGATTCCACTTAGCAAGTTGCGACTTAATCATGCTGAACAGTTTAAAATAACTACTCTGCCGCCTGTGGGTCATTAGTGCGAACACTAATGGTACAACATTAGTGTTATCCAATGTGCTGCCAATATCTCCGTGTAGAGAGAAAATCTGAGTAAATGGAGTTGGGCACGTTTTAAAAGTGCCGTCTATAAAAAATTCTGTCACATTTGCTATTGCTTGCCTGCAATTATTAGTACAAAATACTAGAACTTTTTCATCCTTGTCACAATAATCTGCTAAAATCTGATCACGGAATTTCAATGGAATTTCTATTTCACTGACAGATTTGTATACCGTTTTTTTTAAATCCAAACTCTTGTTCCGTGCACCATACAAAAAACTAGTTGAATTATTTAATGAGGGTATAGGTATCACTAATTCTAAGCCAGTCTCTTTGATGGAGTTTGTTGCATCGTTGTAAAGTTTCGGTATGGGTTCATCACTTGTTATAACGGTTTCCCTAAGCTCATGCATTATTTTAAGAGCATCATTTTTGTGCACATTTGGCTCACATGTATGTAATTTGCCAAATGCATGTATTTGTTTATCCTGAAACAAGAGCAAACACACAATTCCTCATTTCAGGAGCAAGAAATATGTAGTAGGAAGTGGCCTCTATCTATAGCATACCTACCTTAGTAGTAACTGTTCCATGGCATTTCAACTTTTTGTGAGAGGAACATCTCCAATATACTGATCCATCTGCATAATTTTTATGTTTATGATATTTATACTTGCCTAAAAGTAAGGCCACTCCGCCATTGGTATTTATTAATCTGAATTCGGACATTGTTAACTTTTTCTTCGAAAGTTATTGAAAATATTAGAAATGTCAATATATTGATTAACTTCACAAATGACACATAATTTATCTCATGAACGTCATAAACGTTATCAGCCAGTGCATTAGAGAAAGAGATAAAAAGATACAATTGCATATGTTTATTAACCATTGAGAGTATACTAGCTCGATAATAAATTCTTAAGCGATAAGTTATCCCAACATTACGGTGGTGTCGTCAACAAATGCTTATTGTTAACGACACCCCAGGGGTGTCGTTTTGGGGGTGTCGTTAACAATGAATGCGTAAATGTACCTACGTATCAATAAAAATATTTGAATATCCAATATCTTCTAAACAAAGAAGCGAGAGTTCCAGCTTCGTTTCCCGGGCCGGGTGGAATATTTGTATGGCCTACGTTTATTTCTCTCGTGAGTTTGGGTGTCATTTGTGGTTGTCTATGTGTCCATGGCACCCGCGACACAGGGTTTTCCTAGTGTTGAGTGTGTGCGTTATTATTATTTATTAATTCACGATTTTTTATGGGTGCAATTAAATCTAAGCTAGGAGCTGTGGTTCTAAAGATTCAAAAATGGTGCCACTGCTTATTCCAGTGTGGACAGTAAAACATCCTTAAAACTTTAAAACGGTATAAAGACTAAATCTACTTTTTTTACGACTAGAATCCACTAAAGTTACGACTTTTTCAGTGTAATCAGATCTTAGCTAGGTGTTGTGGTTCTCGAGATTGAGAAATGATG